GCTCGACCGAACTTCGGTGGAGATTTCCGTGTTGTTTTCTGATTTTCATCATCCAATAAGATAAACTTGAAGACCGAGGTTTAAACTTGGTGCCCCTGAATCCTCAAACACTCACAAAAACCCAAGTTTTGGGCCTACCAAGGAGGCTAGTATTTCGGAGTGTATATAAAATCTATTTGTCTTTTATATACACACCGGGAGTGTATATAGCCACGGCGTTGTCATAAATATTTATCCTCCTAATGCACATGTTCATGTAGAACGTAGTAACATACACACGCACAGTGACACACACACACACTCACTAAGTAACAGACACAAACACACACACTGACATGCACACACACATCATACGCACACACATGTACACATGTACACACACAGACGCATACAACACACACACACACGAACACACATGCACATGCACACACACATATAACGTTACACACACAGATGCACACACACATACACACACACACACACATACACACGTACAGACACACATGCACACACACATATAACGTTACACACACAGAGACATGCACACATGTAACGTTACACACACACACACACTTATACACATATATATATAACAGTAGTTGTATATGTGTGTACATGCGTGAGTACATCATATATGCTTCATTTTCCAACAGAAGATGGCAGAAGGCGAGGGTGAGGCCGGTGTGAGTGCCATGCCCCTCCCCCCCATGCAGTTCGTTAGTCAGTACACCAACGAGAACATTTCCCGCGGTCTGGCACCCGCGCCGCCTCCACCAATCACAGACCAGTACTCCATGTTCGGCAGTGACTACCAGGTGGACGACCAAATCATCCGACCGCTCGAGTCACAGGTAAACAAACAAACAAACAAACAGCCACCCGCTCGAGTCACAGGTAAACAAACAAACAAACAAGCATGTTAGTGACTGTGGAGGAAAAGATGTAATGTTACAGAACAAACGATAGTAGTAGGACGCACTGGTAGGACGCATCTCTTCCACTTATTCTAGGCACTAGGCACTATGACTGAGTCATAGTATAACTACATGTAGGTAATAGTAGGAACTTAAGGGCAAAGTTAAGACAAGTATTGTCTGTCCAGTATTTGTTTCTCTGTGTGGGAAACAACACCAGCAACAGGGCCCCAGTTTGTGTTAATGCATGTAAAGTATGATATAAAAGACCAAAACAACAAAAAAAAGGTTGAAAAAAATAATCATGAGCTGTAGCAAAATTGTCTACTTTCTTGTGATCTTTAGTCTAGAAATCAAGGTAGCTTATTCAAGTCCTACCGATAGTCTGTCTTCTTTTAATAGCATTATGTACATGTTATTTCCTCTCCACTCTGTAGGGTATCCGTCGGCTCCATCCCGACAAGTTTGACCACAAGCTGGAGCTGAAGAAACTGAACCACTCCATCCTGGTCAACTTCCTGGACCTGCTGGACATCCTCATCAAGTCTCCAAACACCCCACGCAGGTCTGTGGACATTTCTTCCTCTAACCCTTACCCTAACCCTAGCCTCACTTAACTTTGCTGTTCACCAGACAAAGACATTGTGTACACAGGTTAACCCTAACCCTGGACCAAGCACTGTGGACCAGTGACTGTCTGTTTTATGTTTACCTTTAGCGGCTCTACAGAAGGAACATATTGTTTTTGCTCTGTTTCCTCTTCTTCTTCTCCAAACCAATTGGTCAATGAACTGGACCAGACGGCTGTCACCATGGTGTTGTAGCTGACACCCTGTGGTGTTGGATTATATTACGTAGCAATTTGCAGGACGGAGTTTAAGGAGCTGGTCACCATATATATGTTTATGTATATATAACAGAACAGTTGTTAATTAGGGTAGACCAGGGGAAGGTGAACATGCAAAGATAAGATTTTTTTTATCTGTCCTGTCATAGTTGCAACGTTTTTGGTCTTACATGTACTTCTGTTTCGTTGTGTCTGTATCAAACAGGGAGGAGAAGATAGATGATCTGAACCTCCTGTTCATCCACATGCACCACCTGATTAACGAGTACCGGCCTCACCAGGCACGGGAGACGCTCAGGGTCATGATGGAGGTGCAGAAACGACAGAGACTAGAGACAGCAGACAGGTGAGTACAAAATGTACTACTACATCATTGTAGTCATAGAAAGACCATTGTATTGAGCTCAGACTGTGGCGTTGCTGGGCATGTCTGCACGATTGTGAGTCCTGAAGTCATACTTGAAAACTTGAGAAAAGAACATTAATACGGACCACAGAAATGAAATGACAGAGACTCTAGAGACAGGTAAGTACTATAATACTGTTACCATGTAGTTGGGCAGCAGGGAGAAGAGTTAGGTCAGAAGACAAAATTGGGAAATTGCAATCCAGGCATTGCCACTTGCTATCCCCGTTCTGCTATTTATTGGTCTGCATTCTGCCTACGCAACAGTGCCATCTATCTTCTGTTATAAGAACTGCAGCACAACACATTTATTCTGTTTTCCACCGTTCCAGATTCCAGCAGCACCTTGACCGTCTGTTCGACATGCTGAAGCAGTGCCACCTATCAGCTTCTATAAGAACTGCAGTTCATGTTTATTCTGTTTTCCACTGTTCCAGATTCCAGCAGCACCTTGACCGTGTGATCGACATGCTGAAGCAGTGCGTGCAGTCCCTGCCAGAGGACATAGGGGGCGCTCCTGACGGGGAGGATGTGAAGCCGAACCTTCAGGAGCTGAACCGACAGGCGGGGATCGCGCAGAGCAAGCGGGACGAGGACTACGGGAAGGACAGACTCATGTGCAGCATCGTGGACAATATCAAGTCATAGACTTGATTTAGGCCTAGATAAAAATATGTTGTGCTTCCTGTTTCAGTCATTCAGAAAATAAGGTCGGTAGGTAAGGATTATCTTTCAAAGTAAAGCTTGCATGAGGACCCATATATTTTCAATGCCAATGTTGAAAAATCAATTGTACAATGCTTCATCACTCAGGTGTCAGATCATGGAGCTTAGAACAGGTCAGTTAGCTTTAAAAATTATGACCCTTGCAGGTCTGTGGCTTTTTCTAGGGTCAGTTGGGAAACAGGAAACACAACATATTTTTCTAGGCCTTGCACACACAGTTTCCGAGGACTGCAAGTTGGTTTGGATTGTGCAGAGCAAGCGGGACGAGGACTACGGGAAGGACAGACTCATGTGCAGCATCGTGGATAACATCAAGTCATAGTTAAAACTTTAGATCCAACACACAGAAGTTCTCTCACCTAAAGCTTTCGACCAGTCACTCTGGTCTTCCTCAGTAGCTATAGACTGACCAAGTGAAGTTACCAGATACCTTTGACCCAGTGTAGACGTCACGCTGCAAAGAAGCCATGTGACAAGCCTCACTGGGTCAGTCTTCTGAGGAAGACCAGAGTGTACTGGTCTTACCTAGAGGTGAGAGAACTTCTTTGCATTGGATCTTTAGTTTTAACTTTAGACATGTAACTACCAACACAAATGAACTTTCATGAAATCAAGTCAAAGTAGACAGCTGAACTCTGTTCCAGCAAGCTTAAGCACGTTGGCAGAACGTTTGGCCAACATCGTATCAGAATTTTGTCTGTTGCAGACCATATATTCTCTGTGGACAACATCAAGTCATAGGAACAATGTTCAAAAACAATTATTTAGTCAGAGAGTGTCCAAGTTTTCTCCAAATTCCTTTTTTTTCTGCATACCTGCATTGGGCAGGTAACATTGTACATTGGGACAGCTGAGCTCTCAACCCACTTTGGTTGTCTTTACTTGCACATGCTAATCATGTAGATATGTCTGAAAATTAACGCGTTGTTACATGTGATGTATTTATTGATGATTGTCCCCATATTGTATTTCCAACAAATGAAATGATGTAGGACATCATGTTGCTAGACATACATGTAATGTACTTAAAAAGTAACAAGGCTATGGCGTAGGTTTTTCAGATTACTTGATTTGATAATAAATGGTGTAACAAAATGGTCTCTCGTTAATTTATGTAAACTCTTTCTGTCTTGCTCTTGATATATAATAGTAGGCTTTCATCTCAACTATACCCACCCAGGATATTCATCACCCATTTCTTTAATAAGCCCAAACCCAATTCAACCTTTTTAACTTTTGTAGCCAAATGCACATCCCCCAAGACACAAATATATCTATGAAACGTTGTCCCACATTCATGCAACCAAACAAATGAAGTCCACAAAAACATAATGTAATAATCAGTATTGTGCTGTATTTCAATACTTCAGTTTCCTGCTACATCATCCATTGGAAAAAAAATAGATCTACATCCTAGAAACACAATTACTGCTGCACCACAATGTTAGAACTACAACTGCATTTGAACACATAAGTAACCTTGTCTAGTGACAAAGAAGTACTTCTCGAATACAAAGTGACTTAAAATGTAATGTCTGGTCAATCATAAAAGTGTCAGGGAATGCACAAAGCCCTTATTTGAGCTTGACATACAGCAATCATGACTTGCAGTAGAATTTAACAATGGAATTCTCTTCAGAGAGAGCTTTGATAGATATTGTAGTCATATTTCAAATCTTAACACTACAGATTACAACCCCACAATTGCCCCACAATCATGTCATGATGATACATCTTTCTTGACATGATACTAGTACATTTCATACCATCAGTTACAGTAGATCAAATCCCAAATTAGTACACTGCAAGTCCTATTGTCCAGGGCACTAATGGCTTCTTCTGGGAGACTGGTTTTTAGTTTGGTGAATATTTTAATGATTTAACTGGGTGCTTTTCAGCCTGCTTAGTCCAACATAGTAGGTGCTAGAGCCCCCTGTGTGTTCAGTCCAGCATTGCAGGCCCCAGCGTCCCCTGTCTGAAGTCCCTCAGGAACTGCAGCGCTGCGAGTTGGAAGTTCGGCTGGTGCACCATCACAGCGCCAGTCCCGGAATCCATCCTGATCTTGCGAGTCTTTCCCATCTGCACCGCGACGTGCCCCAACATCTTCAAGACGTGATCGCAAGGCTCCTGCATCTTGTAGTGCTCCACGTAGCGAAAGTTCTTCTCGCGGTTAAGACGGTAGAGCAAGTAGTCGGCCAGGAAGTCTTCCCCGACCAGGTGGTCCTTGATCGCGCCAACGAGAGCCAGTTTGAATCCTGTCTCCACGTCAGGGATGTTCGGGGAAAGCACCCCCGGAGTGTCGAGTAGAAAAACAGATGGTCTGTCGGAGACGCGGATTCTAGTTAAGACACTGCGCGTGATCCCAGGGTCCTTCCCAACAGGCGTGGCTTTCCCCTTCTTGAGGTACATCCTTCTGAAGGCATTGATGAGTGAGGATTTTCCGACGTTCGGGATGCCGATGACCATCAGGGTGATATCTTCGTCCTCCTCCTTGTAGAAGCCTGGAGACGCGGCCAAGATGTCCATTACCTGTTAAAACAAGAATTAAAAATTTAGAATTTAAACTTCTGACCTCTCAGCATACTGGCATAACTAAGTGTCGTGTGTGTGTAAGCAGTATGTAGTTAAGCCTTAAGTTACCATGTTGTAGTTAACTTATCTTGAAAATTCATCGTGTTGTTAGAAGTCAGAATGAAGCAACTTCAAACAGCAATTTCCAACACAACGAACTGGACTCACTCAAATTTTCGTCATGGAATGAGTGGATTGCTCATTCCCTGACAAAGGCTGGAGTTGTACAGTCAAAAATTTGAGTGAGTCAAATTTCTTGTGTTGGAAATTGCAGTTTAAACTTGCTTCATAATGTTGTAGTTAAGTTGTAGGTGTATATAATTTAATGTATTGCTTGGGTGTAATGTTTCTATGTGTAACATGACTGCAGGAAGATTAGTATGTATAGATAATCTTAGTCTAAAAACTAATGGAGATCGATTAAATGAATAAATGTTTTCTCTTAAGGTTTTTAAATCTTCTGTGATATTGTGATATTATTGTATTTGTAAATGAAGCGATAATTCAGACTTTTGCAAATTCTGTCAATGCTAGTAAATTATGTCTTAACAAATAAACAAACCTTAGGCATGATGTGCTTCACGTCTTGGTCCTTAAAGGAGCAGCAGCTTGAGAAGGTGAGGTGTTCGACGTTCTGTCTTCGCAGCTTCTCTTCGATGTCATTTTTCTTGGACAAGTCGGCGAGGTCGATCTTGTTGAGCACGAGAAGGTGGGGCCGAACGGACAGGGTTTCCTGGAAGCGGGGGGTGCGTCCGGAGGTTGGAATTCTCGCATCGTGAACTTCCAGGACGCAGTCCACCCCCTTTAATTGCCTCCGCATTCGATTCAGACCTTTCGCCATGTGTCCTGGGAACCATTTTGCTACCTCGTACCCCCTGTAGTCGAACCTGGTGCGGAACTTGCTTGCCACCCTAGAACTCGCCATTTTTTCTTCTACTAGTATTATACAGTTCTTCAACTGAATGTTCAAAATCTACACTGCACACAATTGAGTTACTAAGTTCTACTGAAGTTCTCTCTCGGTAAACAAGATAATACTTTATCACACAATTTTTCATCCAAAATCTAACATTACACATCGACACAATGAGAACCCTTCTCGAAGTTCTAGTAAACTGTATGGAGTTCTCCGTTGGTAAACAAGATTACTAGTACAGTATCACCTAACCCCCTTGAGTATACCTAAGCTCATTCACTATACAAATTACAAAGTATTATAATGCTCAGTTTTTGCTTGGTTTTGTATGTAAGTGAATTGTCTGGTTCAGTCTGTAGATGTGGGGAGGGGGGCGTCCTTCCTGTGTGAGTTCCTCCTCAGTGCATCCCTCCCGCGGCTCCCCTCTGTAGCAGCTGAGTGAACCGATTGGTGACAGAGATCGTGGTGTCCAGGAACCTGGGATTGTGGAAATAAGTTTACATGTTCATGATAGTGTTATTTTTCATATGTTTGCTTAATGATAGTGTTATTTTTCATATGTTTGCTTACTTACTTTGATTACTGTTATGAATGTTATCATTATTAGAAATCTTGTTCTTGATGCATTGGGGGGTGGGGCTCGAACAAGCCTTAAGGCTACATTGATGAAGGCTAGAAATCCAGGCAAACAATACTCTGACACTCTACAACTGGATGAATTTAATATGGAGATATATTATTTCAGGAATTTTGAGTGACATCCTTATTTCACCTCCAGCACATTCATAATTTTTACGTTTTGTACGTTACGTTCTGTTTTATTCATGCATTTCATTACATATTTCTAGTTTTAATACGCATGTGGAAATAACACAAACGCAAACATAAACCAACCTTTCCACACAGTTCTGTAGACAGGCCTCTGTCCGGTAGTCCAGCTTGTTCCCCAGTCGCGAGTCCCCCACGCACGTGTCCCAGCACTGGTCGGTAAACTTGTGGACTTGTGCCTGGAACTGGGCTTTTATTTGCTCTTCCTGAATCATCTGCCGCAGCACGGGGTCGATCTTGTCGTCTCCACCGAAGTTGGACATGTTTTACGGAAGAGATTGCGTCGTCTGGCGTCAACTTTGAGCGAGACGATGATTTTCGAGATTTCAAGATGGCCAAGAGGTCAGAGAGGACAGTGGAAGAGACCACTTTTCATGGGGGAACATCGAAACATAGTTATATGTTTTTAAACAGCAATATTAAAGTATAAAACCTATCAACTATAATATAAATAATCTGAAGGATATTTTTATAGTTTTTGTAACTAAAATTTTATTGTCATAGGACAAAATTAAATGTTAGTGTAGTAACCGTGTACCATTTAGGAGTAGTTTAGCCCGGGTACACGCGAAGAGGATTCTGGGTACGACTGTTGCAGACGACATTTGGGAATATGGGAGCATCCAAAATACTTTTTACAAAATACATTGTACTTTAATATATGGCCGGAATTTACACGTTATTTTGGTGTATTCAACTCTGCAACTTAAGAATGTGAAAACAAAGAAACTAGAATATGTTAATTGCATCTGAAAGAGGACGTCATCCTATTTTTCATTTGTGAAATAAAGATGCACTCACAACCGTTGAACTTTGTGCGTTCTTGTCTTATTAAACTACGTAATTAGTCAAATAAGCAGACCCTTTTCTTGTCCAGTATGGTTTGAGAACAAAAAGACATCCTGAAAAAAAATCTGAAATATCTTTCCTACCCTTTCAATGTCTTCCCACGTAGAAAAAGAAGACTGAGAATAAAGAATAGATAGTTAAATGAATGAATAAAGATATCAACCCCAAACGTTACTGAGTAACGCTGGGATAAGAACCTATTGCCTGCCTGTGTGGATTACTCAGTATACAACTTCAAAAATGGTACAAATTGTATAAATATGATTATCGTATTTAATAAAACTGCCAATAGTCTTATTCTTTTCAGTAACGTTAACAATAGAGATAGAAATTCTCCCACACATATTGTATTGACAATTCACGCTGTATTTTAAATCAATTGCTCAACCGTAATTCATGGATTTCTTTTCAAATAAGACTACGAGTTTTAAATTTACATTTCATCTCGACGATTCGAGAACCACCATGTTTTTCGTGACCCACGCCCCCCCCCCCCCCATCAGGACTTTTATGGATGAAGATTTCTGTTCGCCACTATTTTTAGAACAGTCTGCAATGGTTGTTTTACGTGTAACTTTTTTTTTACACATGGCAAGTTCAGAATCAAAATAATTGGTTTCTTTATTAATATGATGGATGACTGATTACTGAGATAATATTGACCATTGATTATTTATGGTATGTATTTATGTGGGGGGATTAGATTGGACAATGACGTATGCTTCTTCTAGAACTTGATCACGTATACTGAGAGGTAACGTTACAATACGTTGCTCAAAATCAGGACTTATTCTGAAACTAATAATGGAAATGAGGATGAGCTATGAATGAGGATACTAGTAGCACACAACACACATTGTGTTACAATCAACAAGCTATATCTCAGATCCTTCCATGTGGTTTGATATTTGGCAATCTGTCAAAATAAAAAAAAGTATTTCGTGACCAAAGCAAATTTACCATCATTTTTAGACATGAAATGAATGTTTCTTTAATACTTGACCTGTCACTTTACGCACGAAATCCTCACCAACAATCATTAACTGATGATATTTTACGCAGAAAGCAATCTTTAGAAAATGATAAGTTATGTTATACAGCATGTAATGGAATTTGAACCACTTCCGTGCTTGTTACTTGTGCAAGCCCGTCTTGTAACCCCTAGGTTTCTTTCCTTTTCAGAAGGCGTTGCATTATATAAATCTCTCACCCGTACCTTGCTAATATCTACAATATATCTGTCTTCTAACGTGCAGTTTTAGATTCCTGAGTGAACAACACAGAAAGTATTTCCGAGTTGTCATTGTTTACAACATGTGACTGTTTCTAGCAGACGACAGACCAAACCACGCCCCACGATCTATCCCACAATCCTGTTCTGCGCAGGCGCACTCGCCTCCTCGCGACAGAAAGCAAAATGGCGGCAATGGCGGCTAAACTTGGAAGTTGAAGTTGTTGACTTCTTCGCGAATCCGCAGTTTCTGGTGCGTTTCCCGGCCGCGCTCGACCTTCGGATGAACCATGGCGGAAGCCAAGCGGATTGTGCCGATCCCTCTGATGGGAAAGAAGCCGTTGGGCAAGGAGAAGAAGGAGAAATCGACGCCCCCTCGTGCTCCGACCCTCCGGTTCGCCCTGTCTCTCACACCGAGCACCGACAAAACGTGCCCCGAGATCTCCTACGTCGACCTCGTTAAAAATGCCATGGTGAGCCCCTTTTCTATTTTATTCCTCGCCATTACTGTCTCCTCTCCCTCGCCTGAAAACCTGACAGCTGTCCGGGCTTGCTGGAGCGAGGAATCGGGCGTAGTACGAAGGGTGGTCGGGGGACAGAGGGGACCGAGGTACCTTACAAAACAACCTGGAAATGTTCGACTTTTGAGCTCGAATTTTAACGAGCGGAAAATTCTGGGGTTATTTATCACCCAACAACAGTCTTCCATTTCTTCCTGCGGTCATGCCGCTCGTTTTGGGCGAAGAGGAGCCCCGAAATGTGCGACCAAAATCGTACATGTTTCTCCCGACATTTCTGCGGTGGGGATGGTTCGCGCATGGTGTGGGTTCGACTCGTTTTTGAAGGGAAAGAGGGGTTGAAAACGGCCGAAATCCTGGTCCAGACAAAGGCCGACATGTCTGTTCCCGACGTGACAAATTGCACAGCCCAAACCCGATCGAAAAACACATCCACAGAGCTGGGGAAAAGGCCGAGCTGCTTTCCTGTGCAGCCGCCATCATGTAGGTTGACCCGAGTACGCTTCGTCCCGGTTTTGTTTTGTAGCGACTTGGCGAGGCTTGAGCTCGCTCTCGCTGCACGGTTTTGTGTAGTCTCAGTATCTAGAACTGCAAAACGCCTGCCAGGCTTCCACCCAAAACCATTGGCAGCAAGCAAGGCTGTCATTTAGAAAATCTGTCGAGGTTTTCTTGACGAAGGGTGGGGGAACAGTTCGGCAGCCATGTTGGACTTTCAGGCAAAATATGTGCTCGGCGTTCTTGTCGCCCAGTAAAGGGAAACTTGAGTTGTAGCGAACACGGGACTCTTTTACAAAACTCGTGTTGGAGAAAAAAGGGGGAAAGTGTTATAGCGTGGGTTTTTGAGAATCTTTTGGGAACAATTTTGCTGGCAGGATTTTCGGGTGGGTTGGGAGATTTTTGCTCTTGTTTGGGGTCACGAAAATAACCTTTTCAGCCGGGTACGGATATGTGAAATCTGCGAGCACGGGAGTCTTTTGTGCGAGGCTCGTGTGTTTGAGGTTTTCCCGCGAAACTCTACAATCAAACAAAGTCTCTCTATTTAAACCATCAGAAAATATTAAATTTTGTGGTTTCTTTTATTTTTTTCGGGCTTCTTAGGGGGTGCATACATAATGAGGTGATTGATACACAGGTAGGTGGGAACGATCGGGCTTTGATCGGGTGCGAGCTGGGCTCGGCGGCGGGCGGGGTGAGGCAAGCCCCCGGCTACCAGCACGTGTAGTTCTCGCGGGTAAAATTTTGGGTCGTTTTCCATGGATTCGCCTATTTTGGTAAAATCTACGTGTGAAAAATGCAAATTAGGTGTGAGGTGTGTGGATTTTAGATGAGGGTCCAAGTTTGTAGTACAGACTCGCTTGTTTGCTAAGGTTTTTGGGGGAGGGAAAAATATCGGAGCGCCGCCAGGTATTTAAGGGCGCGTCGGTAAATGTTTTATTGGTAATGAGCAGCGTTTGCTGATTGCCTCATTTGCATACTTGTATACTAATTATCCCTTCCGAGGCAGTGCAGGATGTATCGATGTAGTGACTTCTGAACTGCGGATTTAAAACTGGGAACTGTGAAGTAGATCGTTTTGATTTTACACGCATGTAATCACCTTACTAATTGGGCCAATTTACATATATGCATACTAAGTAGGGCCGATTCAATGCAGTTTTCTGTGTCACGTCGTAGGCGTGATTTTTTTTGTAAGAGACTTTGTAGATTGATTTCGTATGTTATGATTGGAAAATTAAGCTAATGATGCCCTGATTTACATATTTGCATATTAATGAGCTGCTGTCCAGGGGCAGTATGGTTTTGAACATACATTCTGGCTCTTTCTTCACACATTGTTAAATCTTGGTAAATGTGATTTGTTATTGGAATATCTACCTTCCGGTGTTTTAAATAGTGATACTAGTACTTAGGTGCTGTGGAAAGCATTTAGTTTGTGATTTAAAAAAACCTACACTGTAATCTTTTTTTTTTCATCTTTAGTGCTTGTTCAATTTTGTTTGTAGAGAAAATGTTTTCGCCTTGTTTGATTTTTTTTTCATTGATTGTGAATAACATTGACACAGGATAATAATGAACTGAAATACATATTTGCACCAACTACATTTTGCACAATTGAACATGATTTTATGATGACGTATGCAAACAAGTGTTGTCCTGAAGCTGTAGTTAATTTTGGTCAATGTCTGCTCAGCAATAGTGTGTTGAAAGTCAAGAAGTCAAGATAATGCCCCATGAATAGCTTGTAATAACATGAAAATGTAGCTTAGAATAACACATAATTTACACATGATAACATGGATAGTGAGATACACACTAACCAATTTTTTTCTGTGGGATTTTTAGATACCTATAATCTCCAAGCAGATGCATGTGTTCGCGCAATAGATTTTCTTTTGGGTATGACTCTGTTACTTTTTGTCATGAATTAAACAAAATACACCTTGAAAACGCACTAAATGACTGGAAAGACAAACATGTATTTCGTACATAGTAGACAAGCATGATAGACACACACCAAATTGGGTATCAATTCAATAAAGTTTACCAAAAGTACATGTACATGTAGTTGCGACCACCCCTTCTTTTCTTTGCATCAAAAGAAGGTCTTCTCATGCGATGACAGCAACTTTAGATATATTTTGTTTCATTGTAGATATCAACTGTACATATTGTTTTATTGATAATACAAGTTGTAATTTGCAATCAACTTTCAAACCAGCAGGGATTTGTTTATGCAAAATGCCGCACACTCCAAAACAATGTCCACTGTTCATACAATGGCACACATTCCATAATACATTACAAGTGAATGATGATACACAAACTAGCAGCAGAAAATGTGCCATAGCAGAGTTCGAAATACAAAGGTGCAATGTGCAAATTGCACGTAATTTTCAAGATTTGCACCTAAAAATATTTTGAATGTGCAATTTTGCACCTGGACAATACCGATATATCATGTTTGCACTGCGTATCTCCGAAGTTTCTTGCTGTGTCGGCATCGCGCTGGGCGCATGGCAGCCATATTGTTTTCTTTACTGAACATCCTGGGAACAAGCTGCTCTCGTCCCCAGGTGAAGACGCGAAGGCATTACGTAATGATTTACCTAATATGGCAAGACGCGAAGGCCTACGTAGATGATTTACCAAATATGGTGAGACCCGCGAAACTTGTTGCCCGATGTGGTACGAAGTCCTTCGGCAGAGTAATTTCGGCTTTTTCGTCCAATTTTCGGTAAAATTCGGTGAAAAACAGAGTTTTCGGATTTCCCAGCATTCAGTGCTACCCAGGAAATTTGTAAAGCATGAAGAAGGGCCCATGAAGAAGGGGTCGATTTTCAAGTTCTTTTCACGAGGCTGGTGCAGCCGGTGGCGGTGGACCAGAGGCTGGTGCAGCCGGGGGTGGTGGATCGGGAGATGCCACCGGGTCCACCGTCTCCGAGGATCCCGCGGCCGATGTTGACGACGCGCCCCCAGAGGAGGGGGAGGGGAGCGCCAAGAAGCAAAAATTAACCGGACGTTATTTTTTTCTAAGCAGTATTTTTTTCCTTATATCGTGCACGATATTCAAGGTAAACAAATATGCAAAATAAATGTGCTCGCACACTGTTGGTGCTAGCGGCGTCCTTTGAAGCTAATGCCGACAAATTTTTTTTTGGTCTTTTTTTTTATAAACACAGATGATACTTGCATTGTTCATGTTTTGTTTGGTCCCTTCTTTTTAATGTATACTAAAACTTCTATATGCAGTGGCAGGCTAAGAAGGTTGATACACAGTAAAACAGTTCCAAACCTATGCAAGATGCAAGGCTAAATATAATTTTGCACATACATTTTTCAAATTGCACCTAAAAATTTTGCCAATGTGCAATTTTGCACGTACCTGAAAAAAAGTATTTCGAACCCTGCATAGTCCAAAACAGTGTGTGATGTTCAATCATAAAGTCATTGTGTTTTATATGTCTACTGTATGCACATTCTTGTCACATCTTCAAAGTAGTACATTTTCTTTATTTTTATTTGCACATACATGAAACAAAAAGAATACAGTACTAGTAAGTGATTATACTAATCGAACAAAACAGAATATAGAAGTACATTAGGAAAACCTGTGGTGTGCCTTTTGTGGAATTAAATGTATATCCTTATTATCATCAAAAGTGCATGTATTCAGGTTTAAGTTGGGATTGTATTTCAGTGACAGTGTTAGTACGTAATAAGGTTCAGGTTGAGGTTGTATTTCACGTGACATAGCAGGTACATGAATAAAATCAATATTGCCTGAACTGATTACAAGAATTGTTGATGTCAGCACTTAAAATTTAGGTACAATGTATAATCTACGTATTAAGCATGATAAAATTTCCACATGTGTGAGAGGAAACAACGTCGAACTACACTGTTACAATTTACACCTGTATCAGACTTATTCATTGGTTAAAGAAGATAAGTACATGTGTACACAACACAACACATGTATTTGCCTTTATTGTAATATTATTACCCAGGCTAGAAGAGAGAAAAAGTCGAAGATGATCTAAAAACAGATATCATGGTCTCAGGATTAGAGTTGAAAGGTTACCTGTATAATGTGATGTTTGTGGCCACAGACATCTGTCTACATTATGTACATTATATCAGCACTTACATGTACTGCAGTGGCTATGCAATATTACACTGGTGTTGGTCTGTACATGTATAATGTGGGGAAATGTGTGGTTTATGGAAGGAGAATTGAATCATTTGAAATGTTGGGTTTGTTAAGGTTGTACATCAACATCTGTAAATAAGTGTAATGATGGTGTCTGTAGTCACGTACAGCATTAATTTAAAGAAATTGTTCAGTTAATTGAAGAAAAACTTGAGCATTTGAATTGAAATGTTGCCTGAACATTTTCAGTGGTATATTCTTTAGTCAGGGCACAGTGTATGGAAATTCATAAGACAGGTGGCAGCTTATGTTACACATTCATGTATTACTGTTACAAGTTGCATGATGTTGATATTATTATGATTATGAATGACATGCATTAAAAGTGATTTGGCTGCTTGTAAGTAATAATCTAAAGATTTGTTCATGTTTAGTGGCTGGGAGTCCAGTACTAACTAATACTGTACATGTGAGCACAAGAATATAATCTATTAGTATTACATGGTGAACAATTACGTTTTGTATTTTGCTACAACTACTACTATATAAGCAAATCTTGACATTTTCTTGAAATCTCTGCTCTTGTTTTCAGAAGAATTTGCTCATTTGAAACATGAACAAGATTTTATGGGCTATTTTGAGCTTGAAAGAATAGATGCTAGACTTAGAATTACTAAAACATTGCATGTGAAGTTATCTCACATTGAGTATCAAATCCCATGTGTTGAATTTATACATGACAATCAGATCATGATTTTGATTTTTCATGTACAAATGTGTTGAAATTGCAGTTAAGCATCACTATTATATTTGTGCCTGCACTATGACTTATTGTAAACCATTATGCAGCACACATAAAACTTGCATTGCAATATTGGACAGATGTAGAATAGCATTATATCAGACAGACACAGTTATAAGGCTGATGCTGCATGTACTGTTTGTGGCCCATCTTATTCTGTGTGTGTCTAAACTCTAAATGTGTGTGTTTATCTGTGTGTGTGTGTTTGTGTCAGTCTGTATGTGTATGTGTTTGTTACATTAATTCCCATGCTTAGCTACGTACATGTATATGTTATTGATATGACTATTGTTGTCCAACATATCTAATTTATGTTATTGTCATGTACAGTGATTGTTACTGCTGTTTTCAATTGTCGCCTTAGCGCTACTTACTACTTGTAAATACCTTGAAGGAACAAGTAAAAGAAACTGTTGTCATTACATATAATTTATAGTAAAATGTTGAACTTTATTCCAACACAACTAGTAAAGCCTAAAGGAGATCAGATTTTCAACGACCACTGTCGCCATCATTAGGATAATTAATGACCAGTCACTTCCCAACGTAAACTGGCGAGAGTACAGTTACAGACACGTGACCTTATCGTAATTTTCTCTCGCCCCACACACAGAGTAAAGACAAGGACAGCAGGCCAACTCCAAATAAGGACGTCCAGGTCATTGACCCCAGCGACCCCTTCGCAGCTGAGGATGCCAGGGAGGTCGCGGATGTGGAAAGGATCGCCCGGCACTTTGAAGAGAAATACGTGAGTCACATCAACTTCTGATCTGGTTTTGTGTGTTTCTTGTATACAAGTCAAAAAGTCTGATATTCAGATGATGATATTGTTTATAGAAGAAATGTTGACCGTTGACCCTCTAGTACTAGTAGTAGTACCTGTGGTAATGCATACATTATTTATGTGTAGCACTACTTTGGTATATAATTTACATTTTTATAGTTATGGTTATCTTACTAGTATTTTCAAGTTTGTATTTTACTAGTATTTTCAAGTTTGTATTGTTGTAAATATGCAGTGCACAATATGAGTTTTGTGGGGTTATTTCCACTTTTTAATAACTGTACTTATTTACTTTATGTAAATTAGATGCTGACCTGTTTTTTTTTCTCAGGGTCCTTCGACAGTCAGCAAGGTCAAGGGCAGGAGAAAAGACAGGATAGAGGTCAGTCAACACCTGTCGTGTGACCTTGGGATGACCTTCTGAAAATTCCTTTTTTTCACCCTAAATGATTTTATGCAATGGGCAAGTTATGGGAAAATAGATTTCTTCCAAAACAGAAGAGTAGTTTTATGGGGCCATAGGTCATTTGGCTATGAAGAATGTTTAAAAAAAAAAAAGAACTTGTATGACTGACAGGTGTCTGTCATCATTACCATTCTTTATGTAGACTTGGTGGATAGGGCTGCCTATTTAGAAATTCAAAAATTCAATAAGTGAAGTAAATGAATGATACTACTGGTAGTAGGGTTATGTGCATGTTTTATTGTCATTCCACAAGTGAAAACGTTTTGATATCCGTTGCTTGTTGTTTCCATGCAGGACTTAGTGGACATGGGTCTGGGGTATGACGAGACAGACCCGTTTGTGGACAACTCGGAATGTGTAAGTCTTTCGCTTTTTTTTTACTTGGTGAATGTAGAAAAGAAGTAAAACTAACTAGCTGACTGCTGCCTAACCATGTGTCAGGGACACCTGCAGCAGTACAATCAAAACCTGGATAGTGACTGAGTGAGTGTGAATGTTAGAAAGAGCTAAAACAAGTTGTTGTAAACCACACACCACAGCAGACCCAGACCCACCAATGGACATGAATTGATGAAATGTCAGTAGAAACATAACTTTCTTGATAATTCCTCTAGTGGGATTTTCTACGAGCATGTTGTCTAAGAAGGTTCTTAATTCAACAACCAGTGGGTTTTTACAACCAACATTTTGGTGACCATCTGTCACCTCTTTTCCCTCACATATCTGACACCAATGACTGGTTCTGATATGTACTGCAGCTAGGTATCACTGTTGCAATATTACAAACTTTAAGGCAGTTATTGGATGAAACCTGTGTTGGTTGAACCTTTTCTGACCTGATAAAATTATTGACAACAGTAACAAGCACCTTGTTTTTTTCTCCAGTATGATGAGTTGGTGCCAGCTGACATCACCACCAAACTGGGTGGTTTCTACATCAACTCTGGAGTCCTGGAGTTTAGAGACGTCTCCGACTCTGACTCCGAGGGCAACTTTAAGGCACCAGGTGTGAAAAGAAAAACACCAAAGGTGAGAAAACTGCTCCAGGAAGAAGCCTGCCTACCTGCCTAATTGCTTAGGCCAGAGCTGTCCCCTTGCACTTCTTTATATTTTCCCTCCAAGCAGCACGGTCCTTAGCCTAATTTGTTCAGCAATCTTGAGGGACCATCCAGTATCATTTACTGTTTGGTCCAGCCATCTTTTGGGGGGTCTTTCTGCAAAAGATTCCCCAGTACTACAAGTATGCATGACAATATCGTGTGATAAATACTGCAACGTATGAGGCATGTAGATCATCAAATTTAGGTTAGGGACTGTTCAAAGATTACAAGAACAGAATATATGGTAAAAGACCATTTTATTTGCTGTAAAGAGATTTTCCTGTACTGTGTGATTGTGATTTTGTATGTTGTCGTAAGTCTAACTCAGCACCCTTCTTAGATCCTGTCCGACTCAGAAGACTCAGGAGGTGACTTCAAGGATGCCACCAAAAAAAAGAGAGTAAGGAAAAGATGCAGTGCCCCTGCTACTTATTGTCTACAAGTTGAAATCTTTTTGTTTTGTTTTCTGTAACAAATTTTCCTCAGTGAAAGACCCATTCACTGAGCTAACACCATGTTACTGGAATAGCATCTCTTCTCCCTAAGTTAGAAGCTGAGAGTGAAGACTAACTGACAGTGGTTTCCAGTTTATTTCCCTTTTTTTACTCAACTTGCCCCAAAATGAGTTCAATTTATGATAGATGTTTTATGCATGAATTAAATGATGTTATTAATACATATGTGCATTTCAGAAAGTTGCTTGATCATGACCTGCATTAATATCCACTATTGGTAACAGTACAGTAAGATTTTTATAAAATCTTTGTCTTCTTTTCCTGTCCTCACAGAAAATGAGAAAACCTTCCAAAGACGGTGTGGAGAAAGACGGGGTGAGAAAACGGAAGCGGTTGAAGGACCCGCTGGACCCAAACAAGCCCAAGAAGCCACGGAAACCACGGGAGAAAGGAGATGGGTAAAGTTCTCAATGATAACTTAAGAGTCATAATGCATTAATCACAGGTGACAAGGTGGTCAAGTGGTTAGAGTGGTTAGACTTTGAATCGAAAGGTTTTGGGCTCAAGTCCCCAAAATATGTGTGCAAAGTCAAGAGTTTGTCAGAAGGATGATGGCTGAGACTATCAATTTTACCGGTTTCGACTTTTTATTCCAAAGTCTTCATCAGAAAAATCCCCAAAATATGTGTGCAAAGACACGACGGCGCATGCCTGTGAGGAACACTGTCTTGGACTCTTTCTGTACTCATATATTTTCAATATTTTAAATATATATATTCCCAACAATTCTGCGAGGATGTTGTGGTCTTGTATTTTTCATTAACTTTATGCTTCTCTTCCTCAGTACTACAAAACCCCGAAAGAAGAGTACCCCAACTGTGGCAGAGCTTTTGCAGAGACAACAGCAGCTTCACCAGCCAGGCCAGCCCCTCCCTACCTCCAACAGCACATCTCCTCCCTCTGCAGGCTTCCCTCAGCACAACAGCAACGTGTCAGCATCTAACCTGCTCAGCTCGGCTGGGTTTGGGACATTAGGTAGAGATCTTTTCACTTAGTCACTTTTGTTAATTGCTGAGACTTCAGTAAATGAAACGTTGAAGGCGTAATATTTGATATTTTTTGCTGGGTTTGGAACATTAGGCATAGTTTTTCATCTGTAAAAGTTATCATTCATCATTGATTATTTCCAGGTGGTACCAAATGAAAAGTTGATAACTTAAAGGTAGAAGTAGAGATTTTTTTAACTTCCCAAACTTCACTGGGTTTGGAAAATCAGCTGGGTTTTGTTTTTTAGGCTGGGAACATTAGGTCATGTTTTTATCACTCACTATTTTTAAAGTTCGTTTATTCGTTTATTTCGATACCCTTTAGTCTAAAACGACTAGTCTTCCAGGGTTCAAAACATATAAACATGTGAACATACTGGCAACAAAATAAAAGAGAATGAACATACATAATCATCACAAATTATAGTCATTGTTTATTTGCTGGGACGACAGTCAAAATAAAAAGAGTAAGATGTGATAGCTGGAAGTTCATCAGGCACATCAGTGCACCTATTTCCCAGAAGTGAATTTCAAGCCCTATACTGTGTACAGGGTCCATCCATACGTAGCCTGACACCTGTTCTGTCATCCTCCCATCCCCAGGTGCTGATGTAGGCTCCTCCTCCTCCCTGCTGGCCGGCAGCATCCTGTCAGGTATTGGAGACGGTAGCCTAGGTGACGGCATCAATCCCGAGAAACCCCCCAACCTCCCCACCGGCCTGCCCTCCGACCTCCACACTACCATCGTCAAGCTGAAAGAGGTGAGGACAGGTTTTGTCTTTTTGTAAACTGTACACATTAAGGATGGGTGGTGCTAGATGTTGCTACACATTGCTAGGTGTTGCTAGCTGAAAGAAGTAAGGACAGGATTTGTTTTTTCTAAACTAGATGTTGCTAGTTCAGTAGCTAGTTACAAGGTGTTGCTAGCTGCTACATCGTTGTAGATGTTGCTACTGCTAGTTACAAGGTGTTGCTAGCTGCTAGCTGTTGCTACTGCTAGTTACAAGGTGTTGCTAGTTGCCTACATACATGTAGGTATCAAGTGTTGCTACAAATGTAGTTGCTAGCTGTATCTAGGTGTTGCTAGTGGCTAAGCTGCTGGTGGCTAAGTTGCTATTTGCTAGGTGTTTCCAGTTACTGTTTGACACTAGCTGCTAGGCATCTCTAGTTTCTGTGTTTTGGAGTGAAGGAGTTTCTTGACGTGATGAGGGTGATTTCCATCTCGTGACTCCATCCATCGTCTTGTGTCCGTGGTTCTTGTATTGTACAGGATGGTCTCACAAGTTCAAGTACAAATGTAAATATCACAGATGACTCTGTGAGTTGCAATATCTTTGTGGCTACCCTTCTTTGTTGAGGGTTGGTTGCCATGCCCAGATGTAGATGGCAATTTAATACCTAAAGTCATCAGGTTCGGTGTCCAAAATTTGTCAATTGAGATTGAATGTCCAGGGTGAGTCTAAGAACTTGTGAGACTACCCAAGCATGCTTGCGAAAAAAACGTCACCCATCCTGTGGTTGTAACATCACTGTGCCCTGGTGAACCCAATACTCGGTTTATGTTTTAGTCCAAGATTCTTGCTCAAATTACCTAAAAATAGAACTTTTGGCAATCTGTTCTAATCTTCACTAATTTTCACTGCTATGCCCCATCAACAGCACACTGCAAAACCCACTTTTTCGTTCTTACAGGGATCAAATTTTCTAGTAAAAGACCACCAAAAAGTGGTCACATTGGCCAGGTGGTCCTTATATACAGTAGTGGTGGTCACTTGTACATGACTTCACTGTTTTTACAAATTAATAATTAGCTGTGATACACTTTATTTTGTTTATCTCCGAAATCGGTAAGATAAGAATTGAAATTTGGAAGTTTTCTGCAAAGCTGTTCTGCAATGTGTTCCACCAAAAAGTGGTCACGTTGGCCAGGTAGTCCTTATGCATTGGTGGTCACTTGTACAGATTTAACTGACATCAAATAGACAATTATCATTTTATTTACCTCCGAAATTGGAAAAAATTTTAAAAGTTTGCAAGAGCTGTTCTGCAATGTGCTGTGGTATGTGTACCCCACAGTTGTTTCTACCTCCGACCCCCTGTTTGCTTATTGTGTGCCAAATTGCCTTGCTATAGAACATGCTGTCAGTGGGACAGTTGAGAAGTTTTCCCTCACTGTCTGCCACCCTCCAGCCGGCCAAGGTCAGTGCCGTTGTCTTGGTTACGGTCAAATCTCCATAGTTGTGACGTGTCGAGACACATTTGTGTTTTTTGGCAACTTGTGTTTCAGTCTATGACATATAAAATCATATTTGAACCACACAAAATTTCAAAAGTTTTAGGCTTTTAGGTTCAAGCGACCTTTAAATGCTGCAATCTTCATCAGTTTAGAATGACCAATTAGCAAATAGATCACGTGACCTAAAGGTACTGCAGCCTTCATCAGGGTCAAGTGACCGATCACCTAATAGGTCACATGACTCCAAGGAAGCCAGTTATTGGTAAACACACATTGTTTTTTTGACAATGTGCTTCTGTGATACAGAAAATTATGTTTATGGTAAGATCCTAAAAGATGTTACAAAGTCAGTGGGTTTGCAAAAAGTTGTTCAAATGATTCGCTTACGACCCAGATTTCGAGCTGCAAACCCCGAAGTACATCTGATTAAAATGACAGCTTGACAAACAATGTCTATAGCTCTACCTCAGCAGTCGTCTGTGGTGATGGACCCAGCAGGTAGTCTGTATAATTGTCTTCTTTATGCACTCACTTGTGTAAGGGGCAGTTATATTGCATAAAGGAACTATTCTAGGACCATAATTGGAACACGTGGAACCAATGGGTAATGCTAACGATTCATGAGAAATGGTTCTAATGAGTTACATGAGGCTATTTTTAACTCAAAACCTACTGCTAATGGATACATACTGGACATTTGAAGAGTTTTGTTTAAGGCTGGAGTCATAAGGAAATACAGTTTCAGGTTTTCAGAAGGTTTGGAGACAGTATAACATAACGAACTGATAACCTTTCCTTAACTAACCACTCTTTTGTGAATAAACCTCCCTTGTGTGCTTTTTTCATCTTTATTCTCTAGATTCAGCTATTAAAACTAACAAAGAATTTCCTGAACAGTCACCATGTATTTATGGATACCGGTTTGGCTGTGACTGACATACAACCAGATTTACCCAACTAATCAGTGGCTATTACAATAGGCCATAGGGACTGAGTAAAGAGACTGTTTTTACACAACCAAGTCCTTTATTCAGCCGACGTTTTGGTGACCGTCTGTCACCTTCCTCAGGGCAGTTCTGACTGGTTCACATTGCATTGCAGCACAGGTGTCACTGCTATCTGATGCTATAAACGTCGGCTGAATGAAAGACTTGGTTGTGCGAAAAGAGCCTCTTTACTCAGTGTCTTACCAACCTGATGAAACTATTCACAGAGGCCAAAGGGACTGTATCAATACATAAAATACAAACGAACATTTTATATGTTTATGGTCACCACATATTTTTTACTGAATGTATTTGGAAGCAATGGTTAAGGTTTCTATATAGACATCCAGGCAAACAGTAGTTGTTGTAATGATAAATTACGGTCATTACTTCCAGATGTTTGAGTGACATCCACCTCTCTTCTTCACTAGAATGTACAGAACTAGTCAACACAATATATGGGCAACTGTAAAAAAGGTTTAACATAGCAAAGACAAAAGCAAAGATCTTAATGTTTCACTTTCTCTCCTTTCCTTCCTCCCCAGGCGGCTGAGATGTCTTCAGACGGAAAGTGCAAGTTCTTCACCCCCTCCGTCAATAGCATGTTGTTAGAGTAAGTTGGACTGTTTTTTCATAAAGATTCCAAATTTCACAACACTATTATGATATAACAAAGCTTTCTTCAACTGTACAAATAATATGTAAGTCTTTTGCCAAAAGCCTGAAACTGATCCAAAGTAAAAAAAATTTATTCAGTTGTGAATAGATTATAACAATGTATAAGCATTGGACTCACTGAATTGTTTATTGGATGGACATATACATTGTACAATCTGTAGATTGTACAATGTATATGTCCATCCAATATAATATATGTCTTGTATGTCAACTTTCATACTTAAATGTAATGCTTTAAGAGATTAGTGACTTCTATTGTGCACTACATTATGTTATTCCTGTATTGTTGTTTTTTCCAGTGTGGAGATGCAGTCTAGAGAACTGAAGTGTTCAGAAAGATCTGTGAGTACCAATGTTTTAGTGTCTGTGTGTGTGTGTGTGTATACATTGTAGGTTTGTGTTTCTGTGTATGCGTGTGCACGAGTGTGTGGCTGCCCTGTAGTTTCTGTATGATCTGCCAGAGGGCACTTATACCAAAGTAGATGAGTCCTGCTATCTCTAACCACACCTTGCGACATGTATTGCATTGACAGGGAGTGTTTGCCCACCTGGCTGCCCACCTTCCCTGTACCAAGGACACACTCCTCAAGAGGGCCAAGAAACTCAGACATAGTGAACTTGTAAGTACGAGACTTGAATGGATGTGATCTAAAAAAAAATTTTTCAGATCATTCTTGCTCATATTATGCTTGCTCACCTAAAATGAGATTCTATGCTTAGTCGTGTAATTATCTTATGCTTGAATGGCCCGGCTGAGTGGTTAGGCACAAGATTAAGAGACCATGGGTTCAATTTCCGGCATTCCTGTTTTTGGGAAATGCTCTTTGCACAACATTCCTCACTCCACCCAAGTGTAAAATGGATACCTGACTTCAGTTCACCTTCCCCCCTCTGCCCCTTTAGCCACCAAAAGGCAGTAGTACCTTTCTCTAATACACGTACAATGTATATCATTTCCCGTCCCCAGGACAGTCAGCTGCGTGAGCCGTTGTTTCGGTTACGAGAGGCGATCGGGAAGGTGATGCCGGAACAGATCCGGCGCCACCAGGAGGAGTGCAAGATCGCCACACAGGCCAAGATAGAACAGTCAGTCTGCGTTTGTTTGTTTGTTTGTTTGTTTCTTTTGTTTGAGATTAATTTAAGTGTGACGTCATGGAGGGTCATGCCTAATGATGAGTTTCAGAACATAACATGGTTAAAACGTAGGGCTAGAGACAGATCTGAGCTGTTTGTCTAGTGCACTGACTACAGTGTGATTTTTCAAGCATTACATCTATGCTTTATACACATGTAAGTCCTAGAAGTAGACCAGCCCAACCTATATGTCTCTGCAAGAGAAACTGGGGTCAAAAGTTCCAGACTGTTAATTTGCCCGTCAGCTGTCCTCAGAGTTTGAGCTGGTCAACTTTTTCTTTGAGTGATTAAAAATGAGACCTTACACATAAGTTTGACAGAGAAGAATTTTCAGGCTGAAATAATTCTGCATTGTTTTAGGCCCCCTCATTGTATACTATCATGGATAAAGATAACTGTGTTTTCTACCCTGCTATTTAGGATCCAGGAGAGCCAGCAGAGTCTGCACAGGGAGGGGGAGGGGGAGAGCCCCGGGTCCACGTCAGACAGGCAATATCTCCTGTAGGACAGAGTTAACAGTAACTAACGGTGCTTACTGTTCCCCAGGATCCAGACAGGCAATATCTCCTGTAGGACAGAGTTAACAGTAACTAACGGTGCTTACTGTCTCCCAGGATCCAGACAGGCAATATCTCCTGTAGGACAGAGTTAACAGTAACTAACGGTGCTTACTGTCCCCCCAGGATCCAGGAGAGCCAGCAGAGTCTGCACAGGGAGGGAGAAGGAGAGAACCCTGGGTCCACGTCAGATGAGGATGAGGAGGGGACCAAGAACAGCCTGGACAACATCAAGATCAAACGCTCCAGCATGCCCAGGAGGAAGTTCGAGTGGACGGAAGAGATCAGGTGAGTTCACAGCTTCTCCTGTCTTGTATTGTTTACCTTCACAGAAGGAAAACATATTCTTTGTGCGAAGGAAGACATATTTTTGGTTGTTTACCTTCGCAAAAGGAAAACATGCCTGATATTTTTTGTTGTGTACCTTCGCAGAAGGAAAACTTAAAAGTTTTTACTCTGTTTCTTCTTCTCGAAACGAGGTGAATGACCTGAACCAGACGGCTGTCACCATGGTAACCGGACACCCTGTGGTGTTGGATTACTTTATGTAGCAAATGGCAGGACAGAGTTGGGGGGGGGGGCTGGTCAAAAAGAAAAATTGTTGCTGAAAGCCTCTCCTGTGTTGTTTTCCCAGGAAACTGCTGTACGAGGTGGTTAGGATTAAGGTTCAGCACTACGACAAGTCTCGCTCCCAGTCTGCTGAGGAGTACCTCAAGACTTATCTGGAGCAGGAGGTCAAGAACTGCTGGCCGAAAGGCTGGATGCAGGCAAGGTCAGGGTTTAGGATTCTTACCTTTGCCAAGAAGTCTATGTTTTCAGTAGTGTTTTTGTTCTCGCGTGTGTGTGCATGTATGTTTATGTGCGTGCGTGTGCATTATGTGTGTGTGTGTGTGTGTGTGTACGTGCCTTTTATTTGTGCATGGCTGTGTGTGTGTGTGTGTGTGTGTATGTATGTGTGTGTGTGTGTGCGTGTGTGTGTGTGTATGTGTGCGTGAGTGCGTGTGTGTATGCAGGTGTGTGTGTGTGTGTAAGAGAGGGATGGGCTCCACCTTCCAGTACCATGCTCTTGACACAATGGTCTAACAACCCACCACCCCTACAGCCTCAAAAAGGCTATGGGACTACCTTCACTTTTTACCTATCTTAAACTGTAATCTCAGGAAAATTGTTTAAAATGTGAGTTTCACGTTGGAATAATGTTGTCCCTTGCAGAATGTTGTTTAAAGAGAGCAGATGTATCCATAGCTGTATAACAGCACAACCGTGAGTACGGCTTCCTTAGCTAAGTAAATTTTATCAGTTCCCGGATATAAAAAAGTTAGTAATGGACGGAAAGAACCCATGATGTGAAAAAAAGTTCATGCCCTGGTACAGTACAGAGATTGAAAATAGTCTAAAATATCTAGAAAATTCTGGATCTGCATATTTCCTGAATAGAACCTTTATATCAAATGTTTCCCCAAGGTAATCTATAAGTATAAGTCTTAGTGTCTTTCTTTGTTTTTCTGCATGTTCGTATGCATGGTATACTCTGAAATAAAATTGACCTAAATTTTTTTTTCTCTTTTCCTTTCAGACCGAAGCAGAAAAAGAGTAAGTTGAAGTCACTTATTTACCGTTGTGATTGTTGGCGCAGTTTTTTCTCTTAATCAAATTCAAAATTTCGGTTCTTAATTTCCTGTTTCATGTACAAAACTTGTTAATTTTTTTCTTTTTTCTTTTTTTCACAGTACAAGTGAACCCTGCCCCAAAGAAAGCAGCTATCGTCAAGGTTTGTGTTTGTTTCACGCTTTTGCTGCTCAAAACATTCCTTAGATGAAGTCCACACTCAGGTAATCATGCGATGTTGACTCCTTTAGAGCATGCACTTTCTCACTGATACTTACATGTACATGTACACACTATGACCTATATATAATTGACTTAATGCATGGCCATAGAGAATGGAGATTTTTGTATTACATTGTACACTACCTGGCAGTTAGCTATCCAACTTACCTGATGCATGTCATAGGTACATAAATTTCTGGCTCAAGTGCCTTAAGAATGTGCCACTACTTTTCTCTGGAGGTGTAACAGTCCAGTTTCTTCCCCTTACTTGTTTTGTAAACCACACATTATTATCACTTTGAATAAAGGGTTCTTTTTTAATTTTTTTCTACCACTTTTTCACCTCCCCCCTCCCAGAAAAGTAATGGGCTCTCCCTCACCATTGGTCTCTGTTGTATTTTCCAGTTTGGGCTGGACCATCCACCCCATGTGTGGGGGTGGATCCAGCAGGTAGGCCAAACGCAACCCTCAGATCCAGCAGCTTCAAGGGTTGGTGGTAACCCGTGCTGTTTGGATCTTTCGTTCCAAGAAAAAACAATTCTTTCTTGGACGTTCTTTCGTTTTCAGAGGCTCAACACTGAAGTGAGCTGGTCTGGTTGTCACGAAATCACTAAACTTTTTGTTTCAGCGATTCTTACTTTTTTTCTGATTTTGAAAGTTTTTCGACCAATCATCCAGTTCACTGCAGGAACCATTGTGGTTGTTGCAATGCATCTGCCTGTCAGTATTTATGCTGTATGTTTCGAAAAATAGTAATTTGTTTGCATGCTAGAGGTCCAGTCAGTGAGTCAGAGAAAAATTTGTGTTTGCAGAAAAATTATACTATTCTACACAAGCTAAGAGAATGCAGGCCTTGTGTTAATGAATCACACACATATTGCAGAAAATGGTTCCTGGAAATTTTATGAACAAGCAGACTGTACATGATGTGTACTTCGACCTTCTTTAACACATGTGCCTCGTGCAGTACACCTGCAGATCACTAGGTGGTGCTCATGTCTGTTTCCTGCAGTGCTCCATTGAACCACTAGGTGGTGCTTCTTATCCTTATGTTCCCTGCAGTTTTTCATTGAATCACTAGGTGGCATTTATGCCTGTGTTTCCTCCCCCTTACAGCAGGACCGTAAGTCTGGCTCGCCCGTGGTGCTGTCCTCCGGCGGAGTCATCGCCCCCAGCGGAGCGGCAGGGACCAGCAACAACTCCACTTCACCCAGCCAGCCCTTCAATAAACCTGTTCCCATGGCGACCAGCAAACCCGTTACCATGACAACATCATCTTCGGCACTCCAGTCCATGTCGTTGTTCGCGTCGTGCGTTGCGGCGGAAAAGCAGCAGGCGTCGGCTTCGGTTGTCTCGTCTCCTCCGTCCGGCCTTCCCAACGCTCCCTCCCTCACCTCCTCCATCTCCTCATTCATTCCCACACTCCTGGACTATGCAGACTCCGACGTTGTCGGCAAGACATCTTCTTCGAAACAACAACAACCCACCAAGGAGTCTCCCAATCCCAAGGAGTCTTCTTCATCTGCTTCCCCCACGGATAACTCCATTGGACATGCTATAGGTTCGTGATTTGATTTATTGAAATCGTAACAATACAATACATGTGGGACACAGGCAGCTGTTGCTGGTGTTTTGTCCTACAGATAGAAACATTTACACTGTCATTTTGAGTGAAGTGAGGAAAGTCGTGTTAAGTGTCTTCCCCAAGGGAACAAGATCGGTGGCATGTCAGTTCTCAAGAGTCAGACCCAGGACCTCTCGGTTCCAAGTCAACCCCACATTGTACAAAGTATGACCGATGGGTACAGATGCCTCCTCTTTGCATTTTGTTGAATGTATAATGTGGTGTAATTGTTTAATATGTGTATTTTTGATTAATATAGATGCTGTGGTGAGGCAGGCTCGTTCACACGCCCAGCCCTCAGCACAGGAGTCGGCAACGATTGCACCACATAGGACCAGCCCGCAGCAAACGGCAAAGAAACCGCCAGGCGATGCCGCACGACCAACCATGAGGAGTCCGTCACAGGTTTGTTTGTTTGTTTATATGTCGTGTAGGGTTAAGACTTTTAAGATCCAACAGAAAGAAGTTCTCTCACCTAGAGCTTTCAACCCGCATCACTCTGGTCTTCCTCGTCAGTACATGTAGACTGACCCAGCGAGGCTTGTCACGTGGCTTCTTCGAAGTGTGACGTCAACACTCGGTCAAAGGTATCTGGTAGACAATCTTTTATGGTAGTATTTGTGAGGCAAAATCTTCCTGGAGGCCTTGTTTACAATATTACAATACATATACTCCATAGGAATTGTGTTAAACTTAGTGGTTGTGAATGAAAAAACTTGGCTATTCAGTCATGCAACCAGCTGAAGAAAATACATGACTGCGCCATGTGCCTGTGAAGCTGGTGTGTTGCGCCAAAAGGTAACGCTGATATTCACTGAATACAATTATACTTACATAGCATATTCAATACAGCAAATTACAATGCCCCCAAGCAATCTATTCACGTTCTTGAGTAACTATTTTTTTTGTATCACATTACCTGAATATCTACTATAACTTACGTTCCAGGTCCCTCAGCAGAGACCACAGCCCTCTGACACGGGCAGGTCTCAGTTCGGCAAGTCGTTCCAGGCGCTTTTCGAACAGTCGATCCAGAAGCCTGGAAGCTACAACTACCCACTGCCCAGGCAGGGCTCAGAGGTTTGTTTGTTTGTTTGTTTGCTTTGCATAACCGATAAACCCGCCGCCCTTCCAAACCTCGGACACATAGTGGAAATACAGGGGAAACACAGGGGAAACACTCTGGAAAGAAGAGGGTATGTTTCCTCTGTGTGTCCTCTCCTTTTTCCCTCTTCAGAGGGTCCCTAATGTTTGTTTTAGAGGACGTATAGTGGAAGGGTTTCCAATGTGTTTCCTTCTCGCCAATTAGAGACTGTGTTTCCAGTGTGTTTCCTCTGTGTGTCCTGGTAATTAATCACTCCTAGGAGCAGAACCCAGCAAAGCTGAAGGACAGCAGGCTCCTGCCTTATCCCTGGGGCTTGTTATGGGTGAAAAGTCAATTATCCATGCACTGCCAAGGCATAGACAGAACAGTGAAGGAATGTGTCCGAGGTTTGGAAGGGCGCCTTTAGGCATAACATACCAGTTTTGTACAAGCTTCATAAGACCTGACTGTAACTTGTGTAAGGTTTGAACCACTCACACCAGGAAGGTCCCCTATCTGTATCGGTATAACTACCCTTTGGCGTAACTCATCCGCTTCTGTGTCTGTATAACCGCCCTTCGGCGTAACACACCAGATCTGTATCTGTATAATTGTCATAACCGCCCTTCAGCGTAACGCACCAGCTTAAATAAATATAACTGACAGACCTCTCTCGCCCGCCCACAGGCCCCTGCTACCGGCCAGCAGAAGCTGCCCACCACTACCTCTCCGTACTCCCCCTTCCAGACACAGGCGCAGACCTCACAGCCAAAAGCCAAACCTCATCAGTCCTACACCAAACCAACGTTCCAGACCTCTCCTCAGGCACCTCTGTACTCCAGCAAAGGACAGCAACAGACATCTCCTCAGGCACCATTGTTCTCTAGCAAGAGCCAGCCCCAAACCAGTCCTCAGGCATCCCTGTTCTCGAGCAAAAGCCAGCCCCAGACATCTCAGGCACCCATGTTTTCCAGCAAAAGCCAGCCTCAGACCTCTCCTCAGGCACCCATGTACTCCAGCAAAGGGCAGCCCCCGACTTCTCAGGCACCCCTGTACGCCAGCAAAGGGCAGCCATACCCCTCTCAGGGCCAGACTTCACCATTTGAGCGGACAGCAACGCAGGGAAGCCCAAAGTCGGGCATGGGCCTAACCCACGCCAGCCAGTCCAGGCTAACCCACGAAAACCAGTCCAGGTTAACCCACGACAACCAGTCTAGCCTGACCCATGGTAACCAGTCTAGATTGACCCACGACAACCAATCCAGTCTAATCCATGGCAGCCAGTCCAGGCTAACCCACGACAACCAATCTGGTCTATCCCATGGGAGCCAACCCAGCCTGACCCATGGAAACCAGTCAAGCCTGACCCATGGAAACCAGTCAAGCCTGACACACGGGAGCCAATCTGGTTTATCCCATGGGAGCCAACCCAGCCTGACCCATAGCAACCAGTCAAGCCTGACCCATGGGAGCCAATCTAGTCTGACCCACAGCAGCAAGTCTGGTCTAACTCATGGCAACCAGTCCAATCTAGCCCATAGCAACCAACCTAGCCTGACCCACGGTAACCAGTCAAGTCTAACACACGGGAGCCAATCTAGCCTGACCCATGGTAGCCAATCTAGCCTGACCCATAGCAGCAAGTCTGGTCTAACCCACAGTAACCAGTCGAGTTTGACCCACGGGAGCCAGTCCAACCTAACCCATGGTAACCAATCAGGCCTGACCCATGGTAACCAGTCAAGTCTAACCCACGCGAGCCAGGCCCGTCAGAGCGGGCTGTCTCACAGCTCGCCCAACCTGAGTCCCCACGGGTCGGGGTACACCCAGGGGTCGCCTCTGTCCCACGGCAAACCCACGGGGTACAGCAGCAGCAGCCCCAAGTTCACGTCTTCAAGCCTGGCATCCATGGGCGGACTCCCCGCTGACCTCAGCAGTTTCCAGCTCCCCGGGCTGACCTCCTTACCTCAGACCCAGCGTGGGGCAGGACGGCCCAGCCTGCCCGGGGCGCAGCTCACCCACCCGACCACCCAGGCGCTGCCCGTGTACCAGATGGGTCTGGGGGACCCGCGGAGGGACCAGGGCGGGTCACCGGCGGGGTCACAGCAGGGCAGGGTCATATCGGACGCCATCATCACGGGACCGGCACCCGGCACATACAACCATGTACAGGCCTACGGACCAGGTATGGGCAACACACACACACACACACACGCAGGCGCGCACACACACACACACACACACCCGGCACGTACAACCACGTACAGGCCTACGGACCAGGTATGGGCAACACACACACACGCAGGCGCACACACACACACACACACACCCGGCACGTACAACCACGTACAGGCCTACGGACCAGGTATGGGCAACACACACACACACACACGCACGCAGGCGCACACACACACACACTCACACCCGGCACGTACAACCACGTACAGGCCTACGGACCAGGTAGGGGCAACACAGCACATCTGCAGAATGTACTGCACCTGCACAAAACCCGTAATGTAAATGTGTATAGTACTTTGGCTCATATAAGGTTGTAGTCGCATATTATGATGTTAACATCCCATCTGTTGTTTCCAAATGTTGTGTCAGAAAAAATATTGTCTGCTACAGGCAAAACTCCAATACAACGTTGACCAAAAATCCAATGAAAACCATGAAAAATCAGGATTTCGCTCAGGCAGGCGCAGTATGTTCTCTCGCACTGTTGGGAATTACTCTCCAACTAAAACTACATTTTGCTAGAGGCTGCAACAATTGAACTTGCAATGTGAAGGGCTACTCTCGGCTCTATATTACGTCATCACCAGTGGAATCAAATCTGCATGACATGGGTGCAGCTATTGTTAAAGTTAATGTGTAGAATGTGTACAGGACAATGTTTTCCTTACATTACTCTTTCCAGTGTGAAAAGAAAATGAAATGTGCTTACTAACAAACACAAAAAGTAAATGTAAAGTCGCTGTGTAGCTACTATACCATTCCTGGATTAATAGATATGTAGACAGAAATTCATGAACAAATTTTTCTTGCAGCAGGCGGCTCTTTGCCTCCGTTTGGCACCCTCCGTAGCAGCCCCACCCGGCAACAGTATCCAGGCAACCAGTTCTCACAGGCGTTCTCCGGTAAGCTTCGTATTATCTGTTATATTTCCATGTGTAACTAAAATTAACATTTCAAGTACAGTCAAACCTGTCAAGTACAGCGACCACCTCTAGCTACATGTATGGGCCACCTGGCCAATATGTGACCAATTTTTGGTTGTCTCTTAACACAATTTTTTTTAATTCATTGACAGGAACATTAACAATCTTGTCTACTTAGTATATTGTTTCTGTTTTGACTGTTTTTGACTTGGTTTTGTTACTTCTGCAATAAAAAGCAAAGAAGAATCCTGTCTATAGTGACCACCTGTAGACCAAATTTTATCGGTCATCTGAGTGGTCTTAGGCAGTTTTGACTGTACTAGACACATACATGTACATGTACATGGTACATGTATGCAATCTAATGCCTCTATAGAAGAGCTAAACTAGCTGCTGCTTTTTTCACTCATCACTACGCTTTAATGCTGTTTGCCAGGAGTACATGTACTATGTGTTAGCGTCTTTTTCTTACAAACATTTTCAATGTGTGCTAGAAGTGTTTTTACATGTTGTATATATTATGATAATTCTATATTATGTGTTTGTCATTCATGCGTTTGATGTTTCAGTCCCAGAAAGTCTTGGTAGTGGGAGGCTTCACGGTTAGACTTTATTTCATGTCGACTTTGCCGCCCCGCCCGCCTGCCTGCTTGCCTGCCTGCCTGCCTGCCTGCCTGCCTGCCTGCCTGACTAGTGCTGTGTACCTAAACCCACATTTAGGTTCAGGTCCAGATTCAAGTCCAGAGGTTTAGGTTCAGTTCCGGACTTAAACCCAAAATTGCACGTTTGCAACCTTACAATTGTTGTTTGGTCAAAACTGTGGCCACATAACATGGGGTCAACACTTGACAATGCCCGATGGCAATTTTTCTTCATTTTGCAGCACAGATTTTGCAGTCTATGGATGGTTTTAGGTGGTTTGGAAACAAAAGGGGTATGCGACATGTTTTTTTTTTTAATAAGTCCGGATTCGGTTCTTGACTTTTAGTTTTTTTTTGGGACTTGAACCCAGCAAATTGGTACACAGCACTATGCCACCCTGCCTGCCTGCTTGCCTAATGCTCGCTGCATGCGCCCGCATTTTTCCATCTTTGCTTTCTCCTTAGGCATGGCAAGTAAAGTTTACAGATGGCATGTGCATTGAATTTTACCTGATAACAAAAGAAATTTAGCTCCCATTGGGCAATGGTAAGATGACATGAGTGTACATGTAGCTTTACTACCAAGAGTTTTCACACAAACTTTCCAAAGTGAATTTTATTCTACTACAGACAGAAGCTCATAGCTGACATGATAAAAGTTGCCTGTTGTGCTGTTATGTTTATTTTGCTGTAGATAAAATGCCTAAAGCATAAACCCTTCAATACTCTAAGAACTGGACAAGAATACTTTGGACCATGGCTTGCCTGATATCAGTCCTAATGTTTTTTTCTGTTCAAAGCTTAGCCATACTGTGTCCTTTTTTGTACATTTAGTATATTATGTTTTACACACAACATCATAGTACCACCTCTGTAATTGAAAGAGATTGAGCAACAATGAGGTCTGCAATAGCTGACTGTAGAAACGTTTGTCTTAATTTGCCATTGTCTATTCAATTGTCCGTTGATAACATAACCTGCAATATATACCATTATACATGTATGCCCTGCATGTCGCATTACTAGAATGCCAACTATACCGCTTTTATTAATAAGTTCTACCTTGTTTAACTTTGAAAATTCCTGACAGTATGTTCTCATATAGTAACCACTTAATTCTTAATCTTAGTCCTTGTTTTTTTGCTGACACTTTCAGTCTCTGCAGTAATGTGTGGAAGGTTTCTTTTGTTCTGTTTAATCACTACCTGACTTTTCCAGACTTGGTGCATGCTTGCTACAGAGTACACAAGACATGGAACTTGTGCTGAGGCCATACTTATTCAGATCATTGGTTCTCGGATTTTTAGGCTTTAAAATTTGAATGTGTTCTTATTTGTATATTATATTTGTGACCCAGGGCCCCTCTGTAAAAAAACAGTGGCCATGCCACTGAGTTTGGCTACCCGAATTACCCGATGGATATAAGAGAAATAAATTTTGCATACATAACTGTATTACTGGGTGTATAATAAAAAACAGTGGCCATGCCACTGAGTTTGGCTACCCGAATTACCCGATGGATATAAGAGAAATAAATTTTGCATACATAACTGTATTACTGGGTGTATAATAAGTAAAACTATGCAGTTTCCAGTATATTTTTAGAAATCCAAAAACCAACACAATGTTATTTGCCCAGTCAATACCAATTTATTTCCTTCGTTCTCAGACATTATGACTTAAATTTAAAGGTAGAAATATAGCAAGCAGACATTCTAAAAGCAGAGGTTTTGGGCATGACTGTGTTTCCTGTTTTTTCAGTATAGCATATATTTTATAAAAATCCAAGAACCAACCCATTGAATTAGAGTGACTCAGAGAACACACCAATTTATTTGCTTGGTTTCCGGACTTACAATGTAGAAAGTATAGCAAGGAGGCATTCTAAAATGAGCAGACAGATGACAGCATTCACTGTTTTTCAAGCTGAGCATACATAATTTTACCTTTAAAAAGAATCCAAGAACCAACCATTGAATCTGTGTGGCCCTCCTCACACATGTCGCTGCCTGTTTTCACTGGTGTTTGTGCTCTGCAGATATCATGGCATGCCTCAGTCGGCCCGGCTCAGCCTCAGGCGGCAGTCAGCCCAAAGGTGGCTCCTCTCTCCTCCTCCTTTAACTGCACTGCACTGCACATTCTATACTACTCAAGCCTAGCCTTCCTTCAGTCTCCAGAGCCTAGGTCACACTGACTTGATTTTATGGATGACATCCTCTGAAGACCTACAAACTAGTGCCTGCGGGTGAATAAAAAAAATTCCAGCCAAAAAAAAAATGCTGCTAAACCACAGTGCAAAGTTGGTATTGTGGATTTACCGTTACTTTTACAAGAAGCAGGCACATGCTGGCTTTTTACGGCATTTATGAGTCAGAACTTTCTTGAGTTCCGTGGAGCTTCGGCAGCCTGGGTGCGATCCTCCATAGTTACCTCCGGCTCCCTATTGTCACTAGCTGCCATGGACTATGGAGGATGGCACCCAGGCCAGAGCCTCAGAGGAGGTGATCCATAAAATTAAGTCAGTGCATGTGGACCTACTGGAGAAAGTTGCTTAGTTTGCAATCTTAGGAAAATCCTGAGAATGCGAAATTGGGACGCTTTTGTGCAGTAGTTGTTGCATGTTGGCCTGGAGTATGCATGCCTTGGCCTCCGTACTGTAATTTCTTAAAACTTTCACAGTGGCGTTGCACTTGTGGTCACCGCAAATATGTTTTTCCATTGAATGTATTGGTATTACTACTAACACTGTGGCACAGAATTGTTAAATCTTGAATTTAACAATTGTCACTGACGAAAGCTAGTTGACGCTACCTGAAATGTCTGACCGTTTCCAAAGTCATATCCAGTTGCTTGAGTAGCTGCTTTTTGGTTATCTTATTACCTGGATGTTTAACCTTCATCGACATATCTTGAATTTGAAACACCAACAATGGAATTTAAAACACTAAGAATACCTCCTTTTCCTTCCCATCACCAGATAAAACCACTGTAAAAAGTAAACGAATTTACAGTACTGCACCGTGCACGAAGTCAGCACTGCGCACCCTGTTCACCTGCACTGCAAATGTCTTTTTTTTCTGCCACCACATTCTTACAGCACGTCTTGTGATGCCAAGACAATATCAATGTATACAGCACAGATGCAGCCCTTCACAAGGGCTGCCGATGTTGGTAGCATTTTGGGCTGTGTGCATGATACATGTTGTGGAATTGTGTGTAGAGCAGATTGGTCTGCCTGATTTTCGCTTACGTTTCGTTCAGCGGCTTTTCTTCCAACCTCGCTCTCCCTTCACTCCTGCAACCTGTAATGCCTGCATGGCGCGCTCAGACCCCCCTTTTTTCACTACATGCCAATTGCTTAGGGACTGTTGAGTGACCAAAATTGGATTTCTGTGATCCTTGGTTTTATTACAGGAATACGATGCATTAAAGTATGATTTAAAAGACAACACATTAGATTGAAGACAATCATTCAAAATGCAAAATGTTTTGTTCATTACCTATAAAATTTGTTGAGCAACCTGTCATATGTCTTCTTCTAGTGAAAAAGAGGATGTAACTTACTTTTGGGTCGAACCCAAGAACTTACAAATCTGATACATGCGGCAAAAGTTAGAAATGATGCCCTTGAGAACAACAGACCAGGATTTCTGAAACATGTTTGAACTGTACAGTTTAAGAATGTTTCACAATGACTTCTATCAACACAGATGAAATCATCAAATCGGTGCAGCCAAAGGTATCAAGAAATGATGCCCCTGAGAACCACAGTGTTGGAAAACATTTTGAGATCAAAAGAATTTCTGAAACAGTTTCAGAATGACTTCTACCTACACAGATGAACTTACAAGCTACACCGATGATTTGGGCTGCCTGTTATTAACAGTTATTGTCCCGACTCTCTCGTTTCAGAAGCCAAGAACTCAAGTCACAGCAGCAACAACTCCACATCCCCACACAGACAGATCCAGTAGTACCACATCGTAGCAGCACACCAAAGTACAGGGGCACAACAAAAAGACAACACACTCAACTAGGAAGCAAGTTGATTTCCCACAAGAAACTGGACTTACCCAAATTTTCAACTGTACAACTCCAGTCTTTGTCAAGGAACGAACAATCTGCTTCTATGATGTCACGTTATGCTGAGATGACACACGTGACTCCGTGAGCAGTGGATCATAGGTTGCAGAAAGTCTGTGGCGCCCCCCGTCACTGTTGAGGGATGGTTGCAATGCCCTGATGTAGAGGGACTCTACCAACACAGATGAACTGTTAGAATAACACACTGAACTCTTCATAATTCACACTCTTCCAGCATTAGTTTTTCTCTCTAGTGCTAGTGCTGTCCAGCCGCCATCCAATCAGATACTCCCTCTTTGTTACAGGAGGGAAACCTATCAGCCAATCACGTTGCCTCTTGACCACAGGCTGCGACATGATTGGCTGAAAGAATGGTAGTGTCTGATTGGCTGATAGCTGGTCAGCGCTGACAGAGTAAGAAGCTAGACAATGGGTTACAGAAACCTTTTTGAAGACAACAAATCATTTGTGCTACTCTCAGGGTGCTGTTTCAAACACATTTGCTCTCACTGCCATGTCAGGAAATGTCAAGTCCTGATCACTACATTCATACAGAGCCCCCTAATGGCAAAGTGTGGTACTGCAGGCACCATGTGTCTGTGGTTTGCAGCTTAGTAGTTCAACTGTTGTACAAATTTCTTTAGTAAGACAATGCCAACTCAGTCTGTAAGTAAATATACTCTGCAAGGCTATTGAGCCTGTTACATCTTGAGCTGTTTTAAGGCTCTTGTGTTGCCAGAAGCCCAAAGCTTAGTAAGAGTTGTCCTTTTGTATCAGAGTTGTCTATAAACTGTACTTTGGTATCTTTGTAACAAAGAGGAACCCAGACTGTGAAACTATGGGGGTATAATGGCTGTGAGGACTCTGTGGTCTTGCATGTGTTGATAGAGCTCCATTGTAGGGCCAATAGTTACAAATATGAACATATAGTTAGAATAGACTTTGTACAATGATGATCATTCTCGCTGTCTATTATGAAATGAAATAGTAGATTTTCTATGCAAAAATCCACACAATTTTTCCTACTCTGCCATGAAGTACAGATGAACTTTTTGAAGAAGAAATAGATATATTATATTATATATATAAAATTACAAGTATTGTTCTAAGGAATTGTATAACATTTTGTCTGTCGGTCGGTCAACATGAGATGTGTTAAATTCTAACCAAGGTTGCCAAATATGAGAGTAGAAGTTTAACTATACATGTACTAGCATTGTTCTTTTGAATCATGACAGTGAAAAATGTTATCCCCAGAAGATGTACAGCCCCAGTGTTACCCTTACAGTAGTTACTTGGATGAATTTTGCCAAAATTATTGTAAATTTCAGATTTTTCCTTGTTGAAAACCCAGACAGACCACTTACTCTTGTTCCTTGTTCAGTGTAGACCAGTTTTTGTACCAGATACTGTTACAAAGTTCCTGTACCTCATGTAATATTATTCTACAAGCAGGGCTGTTTTTTCTAATGTAATGTCATGAAATGCCCCCAAAACTGTATCTATATTGTACAGATTGTATATCAGAACCTGACAAGTCTTGCACATGTGAAAATGAAATGAAGCATTTTTTTTCAGTTTGCGAAAGGTTAGAACTCCATGGTCAAGTTTTCCATCACTTTATCAGCAGCTAGATTGTATATAAACAAATGTTTGGCTCGACATTTGCACATAAAAAAACATGACTACATTTTTGTACCTAAATCCAAACATATTCATAGTTCTTTTTACATTCTTCTTTCACTCAGCATTTTTTCTGTTTCTGATTCAAACTTTCCTCACCCCCCTCCTTATCATCCATCTTGGTTCAGTCCAAAATCATAATCCATTTAAGTCGGGGGGGGGGGTAGGCTTAATCATGCGAAATTATAATAGACTGTTATACCTGTATCATTAAAAGTTGGTTAGCATGTTATACATGTGGGTGGAAGGAAGGTGATATTTTGCTCATCATTGTCAGAAAACAACAGTATTTTCAGGACTTGCTTTTACTACTAAGTTAGTACAGCACAGATGTCCCATATTGGGATGGGCTCGCCCACCCCCCTTCAGTCACAGCTTTGACATTCCTCCATGCATCCAATGCCTTCCAGTCAGGATTTAGTTTCATGCCCAACCATTTTTTGTCTCTCACATACTTAAAGCGGTAGAGAAGAAACGGCTCTGGTATAGAAGGATTTCGAAGTGCAAGATTTGATCGGCAAGAAATGGCAAACATTTTGGCATAACTTAACAAACGTAACAGTTTCGAATGATGAATTCCTCTGGTTGCCAAATTATGAATGACAGAAACAGATTTGGCGGAGATATTGGAGTGAAGAAAGAAAAAAAGTACAGAACATAGAAAGTGATCTCTATTTCTAGAGACAGAATTAATGAAGGAAAAAATTGGGCCCCAGAAAAAAAAAGGAATTATTCGGGCCTGAAGATTCTAAGTCTTGTTCGGAAATTGATTTGTACGTTATGTGTGGTTCACGCACTGTCTCTCTAACACATTTTGCAGGGAAAATAACCCTCAGTATTTATGTATAAGCTGGTGCACGGTTTGCCCTGCGCATTTTCAGCTTGATGCATTGTATAATATGCGGATGTTGAGCTTGAAGGCCCCTGAGACATAACAAAAAGGCCATTCAACTTTTGACTTTGATCAGGCGCAGTTCAACCCGTGAACCAACTTATACTGTTCGTCCCTAAAATCCCAACGTTTGTCTGACCATCTTGTTGCGTCTTCTAGAGCCTCTTGTTATGGGCTTTGGGGTTTTCATATGGAAGAGTAGAAAATGGAGTAAAAAATGTAAAAATATATCGTGTTAGATAATGATCGAAAGTTGGGACTGTATGGAATGAAATAAAGATGTACATACTTTTCTGACAACGCGTTTTATTCCATTTTTCCTTATTGTATCTGTTTAAAATAACCAGTAGAAACCTGCAGATTTTAACAATAGTCGTTGGAAATTTTGTCTTACATTTTGATAGCCATTGATGACAGTCTGCCTATAGCGCTAAGGTCGACTCCTGTCGGTCTCTAAGTGCATTGCAACCGTGTTTTGTGCTTCAGAATTAGCATTCGATTGACGTTCTGGAACGTAAAGCACAGTTGGAAGGTGACGATCTACAATATCGCTGTTCTGGCGCATTTTCGGGCGAATCTTTCCGTGCAGACCGTCTAGTTTTGGACACAACAAAAGCTGAACTTCTGATCGTAACATTAGCACCGAAAAAAATACTGTCCTTCCTAAACTTCACACCTAACTTTCATGACGAAAGAATAAACAACGAACAGCGAAAATTTCTTCAAGAATACAACGAATAGCGAAACTCACAATGATACTTTAACCAGCGTTCTAGAACAACTATTCCGACGTAATAGTACAAGATAGCAACGCACACACAACAAATCGGACAGACTTGTATTTGACAAGACATGCTTGTGGCTTAGGTTTACGAAAAGTGTTGAGACCATGGCGAGCGCTCTGACGCCCGACCTGTCACTCTCCACTATCCAGTCCGAGGGCACTCCAGGCGCCACGCCCGAGGGCACGCCCGACGTGACGCCCTCGGTCAGTCGACAGTCCTCGCGTCTAGCGGGAAACGGGGAGGAGTCAGCCAGCCGGAGACCCTCGAAGGTCATGTTTACGTCAACACCCAAGAGCGAGAGAGCAGCAAGCAGTGAACAGATCCGACGGGATAGCAGTGTGTTGTCCACCCAACGGGACAGCAGTGTGCTGTCTGACCGACGGGACAGCAGTGACCAGCTCCGTCGGGACAGCGGTATGCTGTCCGACCGCCAGGCACTACGCAGGGACAGCAGCGCCCATTCCGACCGCCGAGACAGCAATGTGCTGTCCAACCGCGATCAGCTAGGCCGGGACAGCAGTGGACAGCTCCCCCGGGATAGCAGTATGCTATCCACTAGTGATCAGCTCCGTCGGAACAGCAGTGCCCTCTCCGACCGCGATCAGCTTGGCCGGGACATCAGTGGACAGCTCCCCCGGGACAGCAGTGCCCCACCAGGCCGGGATAGCAGTGTGCTATCCGACCGTCGGGACAACAGAGTGCTGTCCGACCATGACCAACTGCGCCGAGACAGCAGTGCTCAGCTAGGCCGGGACAGCAGTGCCCAGCTCCGCCGGGACAGCAGTGCCCTTTCCGACCGCTACCCCTCAACTCTCTGTACCGACGATCTCGAACCCTGGGACTCTCTTCCTAAAGGCTACGTCACTTCCTCTTCCTCCGGTTTGCTGTCTCCACAAAAGTCTCAAGAAAAGGGGGACGCCTTGACACCCGAGTCCACCCCGGCGTCTTCAAGAGTCTTCGCGACCTCGCCAAGACGTAGCCAAGACTCCTTGGCGACGAGAGACTTTCCTTCGATGCCGTCTTTACAGCCACAGGCGTCTCACCAATCGCGCGACGATGGGGCTACTCTAGGAAAGGTTTCCTCTGGTCCATCCGAGCTCACCTCAAAAGCAAAGTCTAGTGACGTGGACGCTTCTCTTGGCAACGGCTCTTGGCCCGCGTCGAGTACTAAGTTGTTTTCGGAACCGTCGCGCGAAAGCGCTTCTTCGAATCAAGGTAGTTTCATTTAGTGTTCTCTCTTATTTTAACTCATAATAATTATTATAATTATCATTATTGCACTGCATTAATTTTATAACTTACATTACCTTATTTCATTGTCATTAATTTATACCGTATATTATTTGATTATCCTTATTGTATTATTTCCATTTTCTATTGTATTATTTCCATTTATTGATTATATTTAATTTTGCATAGTTTAGAGGAGGAGGGCCTTGTATGAGCATTCCATGCTTCTCCCCTCCCTCTGCAACAGTTTTTATCCTTGTTTTGTATTATTACTGCCTGTTTTGTTTAATGTGCAAACCAATAAAATCAATCAATCAATCAAGGTAGAGCCCAAGGACCGAGCGTCGGAACCTCCGAAGTCTTAAGTCTCCGTAGGAGTTACGAAAGTTCGGCTGAAGCTTCGGGAGCGTCAAGATCGACTTCAAAGACTTCAACAACGCGGGAGTCAGCATCGTCTCTAGGCGGGGTCAGGCGCATAGCAACCACCGTGACGCGCGGGTCGGGCCCGAGCGGTTCCGAGTTGTCGGCGGACGACTCCGAAATCCTCCGAAGGCTGACGAAGATGAACGAACGGATGTGTAGCGAGAACGATCTTCTCAAAGATCAGCTGAAACTGTTCAAGCGCAACGCCGAGCTAAAGCAGGTCAGATTATTATGTGTTATCCAAGTGTTATAGGTAAAATTATTATTTATCATTCATTTATGATTATTGAACTTGATGTGTTATCATGTTTACCTTTGTAGAAGGAAAACATACCGCTTTTGCTCCGTTTGCTCATCATCCGTTCCAAATAGAGTCAATGACCGGGACCAGACGGTCACCATGGTAACTGGTGCTGTAGCAAACACCGTGTGGTGTTCCAAAGCATTATGTAGCAAGTGGCAGGGCAGAGTCGGAGGGGCTGGTCACCATACATATGAATGTGTTTGAGTAAGAATAAGTAGAGCAGTAATTTGTTAGGTAAAGGTTAGGTGTGAAGGTAAACATTCTGTATTTGCTTTGCAAATATCAATGCTACCTTTCTAGTTTTGGCTCAAGGTTTCTAAAAAAATGTTTATTTCCGGTTGAAGATATCTCTGATCAGCCTGGTGATCGCGTGGCACCAGGGCCTGCTGTCACCGGACGACTGCCGGTCCCTGTCGGAGCTGTCTCAACTCGGCTCCGAGGACGACCCCGGCGGCTTCACGGTGTCCGGTCGAGGGCTGGGCAGGTGCCTGAGGGAGCTGGCCTCCCTCCGTCCGCCGAGGGACGCAGAGAAACGCCGGCGGGCACGGGAAGCGTCAGACTCCGACAGGCAGCATCAAAGCTCAGACCGATCACCGAGTGATGCCAATGCACGCCGTCGGTCAAGGGATGCTTCAGGCTCCGACTCAACCCGGCAGGAGGGCTCGGTCCGATCATCGAGGGATGCCAGCACACGCCGGCGGTCACGGGAAGCTCCAGGTCCCGACTGGCAGGAGAGCACAGCCCGTTCACCGAGAGATGCCTTGCAACGCCGTCGTTCGCGGGAGGCTCCAGGCCCCGACTGGAAAGATAGCACAGCCCGTTCACCGAGGGATGCAGTAACACGCCGGCGGGCGAGGGAGTCGCCCGGCCCCGACCCCGTCTGGCTGGAAAGCTCGGTGCGAGAGATCAAGCGCGTCTTGCACCACCTGGAGCGGAGCCTGATCGACCTAGACTTGACGGTTCGCGACCACCAGAGCCTTTGGCGCGACGCGCGAAGGCTTGGCGCGTTCCCGCCTCTTCCCGCTTCATGCTCACAGGAAGGCGCTTCAGCACCCAGGCTGTATATACCGCGCCCTCATGCGGAACACTCCGGTACTGCCGTCCAGTTGGCAAACAAGGAGACAACACAACCCGATGACTCCGGTCTTGGAGGGAGCCTTTCCAAAATGGCGAGTTTTACGGGGGGAGAAGAGACGATGGATGGAAGAGCGCGGAGGAGTTCCGAAGCCCATGACGTCAGAGAAGTCCGTCTCCTGGGGGAGGTGTGCCACCAGTTGGAACAGCGAGTGCTGGTGTCCGTCTTTCCAAGGCAAAAGATCGACCATGCCAGGTGATTACCAATTATCAATCAACCAATCAATCAATCAATCAATCAATCAATTCTTATGAGTCATCGTAATGTATCGATCACTTTGGTCCCTGGTCATTTTTTTATGTGAGGAGGCCCTGCAAGGTCACGTGGTCTTTGAATGGTCATTCGAACCTAACGAAGGCCCCAGTACAAAAAAGTTGAAAATTCGGTGAAACTTTTTGCCTTGCGAGAGATTTAACTTCCACGATAAAATAGTTGTACATGTATATATTTTTTTCAATTCAGCAGGCTGCGAAATAGTTTTACAATAATTCATTTACTGAATGTCCATCCATTCATTCGATTTTCTTTCATTGATTCTTTTTTTCCCAACCCAACCAAAAGTTTCAGCCTGCGCACGATCGGTGACCTGGTCCGGCTGGAGCCTGACCCGGATGAGAAAGAGTTCCTGACCCGGAAGCTGGGTCGCGTCACGGCCACCCTGCGGCTGTACGGGTTCGACCCGCAGAGACACCCGTTCTTCATGACGGACATCCTGCTGCGGTTCGGCAGGTTCGGCACAGACTGGGACAAGTACAGCTTCGTGCAACAGAAAGGTATATACATGTACATTATAGATTGGTCCCTTGACCCATGGCATAGTCTTCTGTCTCCCAGGTTACCAAGGTTACCTGTTCTGTCTCCCAGGTTAACATGATTACCTGTTCTGTCTCCCAGGTTACCATGGTTACCTGTTCTGTTCTGTCTCCCAGGTTACCATGGTTACCTGTTCTATCTCCCAGGTTACAATGGTTACCTGTTCTGTCTCCCAGGTTACCATGGTTACCTGTTCTGTCTCCCAGGTTACCATGGTTACCTGTTCTGTCTCCAAGGTTACCATGGTTATCTGTTCCGTTCTGTCTCCCAGGTTACCATGGTTACCTGTTCTGTCTCCCAGGTTACCATGGTTACCTGTTCTGTCTACCAGGTTACCATGGTTACCTGTTCTGTCTCCCAGGTTACCGTGGTTACCTGTTCTGTCTCCCAGGTTACCATGGTTACCTGTTCTGTCTCCCAGGTTACCATGGTTACCCGTTCTGTCTCCCAGGTTACCATGGTTACCCGTTCTGTCTCCCAGGTTACCATGGTTACCTGCTCTGTCTCCCAGGTTACCATGGTTACCCGTTCTATCTCCCAGGTTACCATGACGCAGAGTTGCTCCGGGAGACTGTGGGCCGCCTGGTGCCGGACACCTTCAGACGCGACATGCTGGTGGTGCTGGACTGTCTGCTGGTCATGTTACCAAGGTTACCTGTTTTGTTCTATCTCCCAGGTTACCATGACGCAGAGTTGCTCCGGGAGACGGTGGGCCGCCTGGTGCCGGACACCTTCAGACACGACATGTTGGTGGTGCTGGACTGTCTACTGGCCATGGCGCGGGAGGACGGCTGCTCCATCTTCCTCTGGTGACAACAACGACAGCAACAACAACAACAACAACAACACCAACGACAGCAACAACAACACCAACAACAACAACACCAACAACAACAACACCAACGACAGCAACAACAACACCAACGGCAGCAACAACAACAACACCAAAGGCAACAACAACAACACCAACGGCAGCAACAACAACGCCAACGGCAATAACAACAGCAGTAATGACGAGAACAACAGCAGTAACCGTATGTTTTCCTCACACATTTTGTGCAGCCAGTGACACCGACGGTTGGCATGATGTGACAGATTCGAAGTCTTTTCAGCACTGCACGTACGCAAAAATAAACTATTGTCTTCTGTTCTCAAGTTCTTTTTATTTGTTTAGAAACAGACCTGCAAGTTTGTCGTGTGGATAGGGAGGTAGGGTGTTATGCTATATAGCACTGGCTATTATACTACTGGATATAACTGATTATTAGAATAATGTCAAAACGTTAAAATTCAGTAGAAATTCTAGGAAAGTATCGATTATTATGTCGCGTTGTATAGATACACGAAACACCGCAATAATGAGAAACTGCCTAAATGGTGCCTAAACAACTCTTTATTGAACAGCATTTAAAGTTAAAAAAATTACATTTCAACCTTATAAAAGTTTACTTTACGTAATGGTAGAGTCAAAATATGGGGAGTTCAAATTGCATACATTTTTTAACATAATTGATGATACAAACATACAAGTACACCGACAACAGTCCAACAGATATAATGTACAAAAAAGTAAAGATCCAACTAGCAATCGTCCGTAGGCTTCAAAGATTCAACTTAAAGTGTAGAATTACATTGTATTGTAACGCCACTAATGGATTAATGGCTTTATGTAAATACATGTATATACTAACGTGAAGGCTTTAACATTTGAAATGGACATGGAAAACCTCAAAGAATCGGAACTACATTGAGAAAAAAACAATTATCCGTTATGAGTCCCAAGTACAATTCCACTTACATGGAATAGAGGGAGTTAGGAAGTTGTTAATTGAAAGTTTTCATTTTACTTGGAAAAACTTGATAGAATTACTAGCTTCAGAAACGACCAAATGTCCGTCGTGAGTCAGCGTCAGTCCCATTGGAAAATACAGTCCGTGTTCCTCCCCTGTCAGCACGTGCCTGATAAACGCGCCGTCCCGACTGGACAGGGAAACGTGATGGTTGTGCCAGTCGGCCACGATGATGTTGTCCTCGCTGTCCGTGATGACACAGTAGGGCTCGTCCAGCTGACCAGGTCCCACGCCATATGACCCAAACGTGAAGAGATGACGACCGGCGGAGTCAAATATCTTCAAGTTGTGGTTGTGATAGTCACTGACGATGATCTGGTTGCTGCTGTTGACGGTCACACGGAGGGCGGAACCCAACTGCTGACCTTGACCTTTCTCCCCGAACTTCAGCATGACGTCACCGCTGGGACTGAGTGCAAACACTTGGTGCCCGATAGTGACGATGATGCGTCCCGAACCGTCAACAGCGACGCCGTATGTACTTCTATCTGTCTCTGCAGCCCCTGTCACCTGGATGACGCGCGACTTCCTCCCCTGTTTGTCCAGAACGTGAATCTTGTGTCCGTCTCCTGTCACAAACAGCTCGCCGTTTGTCAGTGCCACCACACAACAAGGCTTGAACCCCAGATCAATCTTCTTTTTAAAGGATCCATCTTTGTCCAGAAACTGCAGGCGTGAGTTGTCCCAATCAGTCACGACAATGTCTCCCTCTGCGGTGACAGCGAGCGAGGACGGATAGTCAAACTCTCCATCTCCACTGCCGTACTCCCCTACAGTTTTGACGTGTTCTAGACTCACGTCGCCATTACCGATCGCCACGTTCAGTCGCACCTGCGGAGTCGGTGGGATCAAAGGTGTTCTCACCTGGTTTATCCCACCTACAAGTTTAGCGACTTCCTGCTCCAGCCCGCCAGCTGGAGGGTCAAAGGTCAAGTTCACGAAGTTCATGGTCAGTTCCGCCCTCTCGGCGCTTTTGTCCTCCGCGGTTCGGTCCAACCGTCCGGTCAGTTCTCCGGCCACCGAGATGACCTCCGCCGGGCTGCCGTACTCCAACACGTTGTCCGCGAACTGGACACAGCTCCTGGCCGAGGCCAGGTCCATCTCAGCTGCCTCCATGGCGGCGTCCATCTGTTTCTCCCGAGCAGCATTCATGGCGCGAAGCTGGCCGATTCTGTCGTCTCCAGCCTTCTCCGCGGCCTCGATGATCGCCTTGACTTGTTTTCTGACCTGTTCTTCTGTACGCCGTACCTCTGAAGGCCACTTGTCCCTCACTGACTGCAACTGTTGTCTCCACGTCTCATGCAGGCCTGCTGTGTTCTTGACTGTCGTCACTTTTGCCTTGATCTTTGCACCCTCCCTCTCTGCCGCCTTCTCTATCTCCACATACTGGTGCTCTTTGTGCGCCGTGACCACGCAGTGCAGACAGATGACCCGCTGGCAGGTGTCACAGTAGAACTTGTTCAGTTCGCGGTGAACCTCACACTTGGAGGTCTCCCTTGCCCGGAGCTCGGCGGCAGCTTGGCCGGATTGCAGGTCTTGAACCGTTACAAGTTTGTGGGACCGGTTCCCTTTGAAGCGACGGTGCATGTCGTCACACGTGTGACACAGGTAGTCGGTACACTCCACGCAGTAAAACTGGGCCGAGTTGCCGGCCTCACAGACCGTACAGGGGACTCCGTCCTCCCGCGCCTCGGACGTTTTTCCTGCCGGCTGTTGTTGCAGAATGTCGCGCAGTTTGCCGACGAGGAAGTTGGACTTCAGCCCCTGGACGCCATTCTGGGGGAGGGGCACGTCCTGTCGGCATGTCGGACAGTCCAGTTTCCCTACCGGCTCTGCGGCCAGGAGCTTCTCCAAACACGGCTGGCAGAAGGTGTGAAGACACGGCAGCATCTTAGGCTGCCTGAAGTCCTCCAAACAGACCTGGCAGGCGAGAAATTCGTCGGCAATGTCGCTGACTGCGTTGGACGCCATCTTTACTCAAGGACGTGTTTGTGCACTCTGGCACACTTACTGAAACGTCGAGAGGGGCATCGGTAATATTTGTGATCGCTTTATTGACTTTTACCTCGTGATGGTGTCTAGTAGCCTCCTTCGCAGTCTTGTTGGGCGTCGGCGTTATTTTTTCTGTGAGCGACGCCAGTAATATGCGGCCGCGAGGGACGATTTGCTGCCGAGGGACTTTTTGCCACCGAGAGAAGGATTCGCGCTGTTGTAAAGAGAATCCGCATATAACTCGCGTCGCTCACAGAAAAAAAATAACGCCGACGCCCAACAAGACTGCGAAGGAGGCTAGTTTGTGGTGGGTGGTTCCATTTGTGTTTTTGGGAGGGGGTAGCAGACGTGATGTCATATGGTAATTAGCACAAGGCAGCCATAATACTGAGGGATAAACTGCCGGACGCGGAATTTTTATTGCATTTTCAAGAACGTATTACAGTTGTAGGAATACAAATAAAGTATACGTGGTATACAAGACACAAAAAAAACTAAATAGTAATCCAAAATAGTTTACAAACGGTTTCCTAATTTACGAGATAATTGTGTAGTGTTCCCCATTTTCCCATTTGTTTCTTTACTTCTTTACAACTCTGTTCAATAATAAACTCAATCTTAAAATAAGTACTAACGAACTAGTAGAATAACAGTATTAAAAATAGATGCCAATTTGTTTGTCATGTCGCTGTTTGCGTTGGGCGCCGTTCTTATCAAGTATTGAACACGGACTTTTGGACTCTCACTTGAAGCTTTAAATGGGGCCACAGCAAAAGCTTAGAGCGATCTATCATTGATGTTTACGTATGTACTGTCGCCCTAGGACGTTCCATTCTAGGTGCTCCTATACTTGTTGGGAAAACATGAGTTATATGTCTCGTATGACAAACACACGAAACACCACAAGGTATTGAAAGACGCTGCTAGGGGGCCTAAAGCAATTCTTTATCGAGCAACATTTTTCAACCTCAACGTTTACGTTAGATTTATATTCAATACTAGTATGTAAAGGTTTGAACTTGATAACCTACATAAATTTAATTGGTGATGCAAATATATGAAAGGGCGTACAATGGTATCGACCCCTTTACCTCTTGATGTGATAAATTCGGAGTTCTTCGGCACTGCACTTAAACAAAAATAAAATATTGTCTCCTTCTGTTCTCAAGTTCTTTTTTGTTTAGAAACAGACCTGTATTATAAGTTCGTTGGGATAGGGAGGTGGGGTGGGGGTGCTATATAGCGCTGGCTATCATACTACTGGCTATATAACTGGCTATTAGTAGTATAATGTTAAAAAGTTAAAGTTCAGTAGAATTTGTAGGAAATTATTTTTATGTCGCGTTGTATAAATACACAAAACACCGCAATGATGAAAAACTGACTAAATGGTGGCTAAAACAACTCTTTATTGAAAAGCATTTATTAAAGTTTTAAAAAATCACATTTCAACCTTATCAAAGTCCACTTTACATAATGGTAGAGTCAAAATATGGGGAGTTCAAATTGCATACATTTTTTAACATGATTGATGATACAAATATACAAGTACACTGACAACAGTCCAACAGATATGATGTACAAAAAAGTAAAGATCCAACTAGCAATCGTCCGTAGGCTTCAAAGATTCCACTTGAAGTGTAGAATTCAATTGTATCCTAACGACACACATGGATCAATGGCTTTATGTAAATACATGTATATAGCAATGTGAAGGCTTTAACATTTGTAATGGACATGGAAAATCTCAAACAATCGGGACTACAATGAGAAACAGATTCCACTTACATGGAATAGAAGGAGTTAGGAAGTTGTTAATACTATTAGAAAGTTTTCATTTTACCTGGAAAAACCTGATAGAACCAAAACGTTCAGAAACGACCAAATGTCCGTCGTGAGTCAGCGTCAGTCCCATTGGATATGCCAGTCCGTGTTCCTCCTGTGTCAGCACGTGCCTGATAAACGCGCCGTCCCGACTGAACAGGGAAACGCGATGGTTCCAAAAGTCCGCCACGATGATGTTGTCCTCGCTGTCCGTGATGACACATTCGGGTCCGTACAGCTGACCAGGTCCCGAGCCTTCTGACCCGCACGTGAAGAGATGACGACCGGCGGAGTCAAATATTTTCAAGTTGTCATTCCAACAGTCACTGACGATGATCTGGTTGCTGCTGTTGACGGTCACATGGAGGGAGGAACAAAACTGCTGCTGACCTTCACCTTTATCCCCAAACTTCAGCATGACGTCACCGCTGGGACTGAGTACAAACACTTGGTGCCCGATAGTGACGATGATGCGCCCCGAACCGTCAACAGCGACACCTTTCGTAGTTCCATCTTTTTCTACAGCCCCTGTCACCTGGATGACGCGTGACTTCCTCCCCTGTTTGTCCAGAACGTGAATCTTGTGTCCGTCTCCTGTCACTAACAGCTCGCCGTTTGTCAGCGCCGCCACGCACCAAAGCCAGAAGCCCAGATCGACCTTCTTCTTGAAGCAGCCATTTTTGTCCAGAAACTGCAGCCGTGAGTTGCAACAATCAGTCACGACAATGTCTCCCTCTGCGGTGACAGCAAGCGAGGACGGATAGTTAAACTGTCCATCTCCACTGCCCCCCTCCCCAACAGTTTTGACGTGTTCTAGACTCACGCCGCCATTACCGATCGCCACGTTCGGTCGCACCTGCGGAATCGGTGGGATCAAAGGTGTTCTCACCTGGTTTATCCCACCTACAAGTTTAGCGAATTCTTGCTCCAGCCCGCAAGCTGGTGGGTCAAAGGTCAAGTTCACAAAGTTCATGGTCAGTTCCGCCCTCTCGGCGCTTTTGTCCTCCGCGGTTCGGCCCAACCGTCCGGTCAGTTCTCCGGCCACCGAGATGACCTCCGCCGGGCTGCCGTACTCCAACACGTTGTCCGCGAACTGGACACAGCTCCTGGCCGAGGCCAGGTCCATCTCAGCTGCCTCCATGGCGGCGTCCATCTGTTTCTCCCGAGCAGCATTCATGGCGCGAAGCTGGCCGATCCTGTCGTCTCCCGCCTTCTCCGCGGCCTCGATGATCGTCTTGACTTGTTTCCTGACCTGTTCTTCTGTACGCCGTACCTCTGAAGGCCACTCGTCCCTCACTGACTGCAACTGTTGTCTCCACGTCTCATGCAGGCCTATTGTGTTCTTGACTGTCGCCACTTTTGCCTTGATCTTTGCCCCCTCCCTCTCTGCCGCCTTCTCTATCTCCACATACTGGTGCTCTTTGTGTGCCGTGACCACGCAGTGCAGACAGACGACCCGCTGGCAGGTGTCACAGTAGAACTTGTTCAGTTCGCGGTGATCATCACACTTGGAGGTCTCCCTTGCCCGGAGCTCGGCGGCAGCTTGGCCGGATTGCAGGTCTTGAACCGTTACAAGTTTGTGGGACCGGTTCCCTTTGAACCGTTGGTGCATGTCGTCACACGTGTGGCACAGGTAGTCGGTACACTCCACGCAGTAAAACTGGGCCGAGTTGCCGGCCTCACAGACCGTACAGGGGACTCCATCCTCCCGCGCCTCGGACGTTTTTCCTGCCGGCTGTTGTTGCAGAATGTCGCGCAGTTTACCGACGAGGAAGTTGGACTTCAGTCCCTGGACGCCATTCTGGGGGAGGGGCACGTCCTGTCGGCATGTCGGACAGTCCAGTTTCCCTACCGGCTCTGCGGCCAGGAGCTTCTCCAAACACGGCTGGCAGAAGGTGTGAAGACACGGCAGCATCTTAGGCTGCCTGAAGTCATCCAAACAGACCTGGCAGACGAGAAATTCGTCGGCAATGTCGCTGACTACGTTGGACGCCATTTTCAAAAACAAGTCTCCGCACCCACTGAAACTGGAAGCAGAAGAAGGACAAGATACCAAAAATGCGTCACCTATTTACGTCATATTAGGCGGTTCCATTTTCTGTGCTCGGAGGGGCGCAAACTTCTTTTTTATGAAACGCTCAGATCGAGCATGCAAGGTTTGAGCGAGACAACTCTACAGTAATTGCCGCCCTTTGAGACCAACACGCCACCCTTACTAAGTATATCCTAGTCAAGCTGGCAGCACACAACAGGACATGGATTTTCCTGAGTGCGTCGGACTCCATTTTCAAAGTCTCCGCACCCACTAAAACTGGAAGGACAAGATACCAAAGTGGATTAGATTGTTCCATTTGTGGATATGGGGGCGCGCAGACGTGTTTCTCATAAAACACGAAAGGAAACAACATGCAAGGTTGTGAGCAGGGCAGTGTAGGAGTAACTGTCGCCCTTAGAGCAGCACGGCCGGAATACGGCCGGTGTCGTCTTGATCACTGCTCTTTTCTTATGTATGAATCGACCGATTACTGATGTTCGCAGGCCAACGAACCTCTCCCAATGAGACAGGGTTGATTTTTTTAGGCGAAAGATATCCTTGTCTATGACGACGTTAAAATTCTTAGAACTTCTAGACTGGTATTCAGTCTAACGTGGTCTGAGCGGACTCCCTTTGGAGCCCTAGTAGCCCCCCCCCCCTGCTTAGTTGAACTAGTCGCCACTTTGTGCCCTGTAGCTATATATAGGCGTTTTGCACGTCAGCACTAATTAGTTGTGGCCTGTTTGAACTCTTGCCGTGCAAACTCCTACAGCCAGAACATAGGGGATATACGCATCACTAAGGTATTAAGATTCTTATAACTTCAAGACTGGTATCCAGCCTATCGTGGTCTGTGTGGACTCCCT